AAACCAGCCATACGAATGGCAGTCTTATAAAGAGGTGAGACCACAGACTCAGGAAATCCAACAGTGCACTTGTCCACAATACATAACTAACAAAGTCACAGTACATTTTTAACAAAATAGACTTTTGTTTTGTTTTGCACAGGTGGCAGACAGAGCGGAGAACATCGGTTCTGCGCTCCTCCACAGAGGACATTCTCATACAGGAGACAAGTTCATTGGTATCTTTTCCCAGAACAGGCCGGAGGTACAACAAATGTCATAATTTTTAGCACTACCATGGCACAGTAAAGCAAAGCTATATTGTCTTGTAGGCCAATCTATAGTGTAATGTTAATGTGCCTTATATAATGGACTCAAATTATCCGACTGTGCAATGTAAAAAAAAAAAGGCATACAATCAATGGCCACTAACCAGAAGTGAACTGACATCATGAATTGCGAAGAAAAAGTCAATTTAGATGATGAGAGTAATGGGTCGTGCTGGGATTTTTTCAGTGAAACAGATTATCAAATAAATCCAGTCTAATAAATCAGTGTGCTGCTCCACTATAAAGACCTCGATACAGAATAAACAGGTATAACCAGTGCCTCCAGGAAATTGTAATGTTGCGATCATAACAACTGACGCAACTGCAATCAGTCGCTGAGAATTTTTCACCCCAGCTTCTCCACAATTTTGACCGATCAACGTAGTTTCCCGCAAGTTTTTCCCAATAGTCCAGTGAGGCATACGTCACCCCCATCCCGACTGTAGAGCAAATAGTAAATACAATTTCAGACACAGCCACTGTCTCCTGTCCTTCTCCTCTCAGTTTCCCTGTAGATTAAAACTCTTTTAAAATATTATCTTGTAAACTTTTTTCAATGGAGGGCTTATATAATCAGCCTACTTTCTATGAGTCAGACTATAAGGTCATTGACTTTTCATGAGTGATGAATGAGTGATGAGCTGATGTGTTTTCTCCGTTTTCTGTCTCTCAGTGGACCATATCGGAGCTGGCCTGTTACACATACTCCATGGTGGCAGTTCCACTCTATGACACACTTGGCACAGAGGCCATCGGCTACATTATTGACAAAGGTACACAAAAGGGCACCTTCAAACGCTAACCACACACCACCTGCAGTGTTATCGCAGCGCTCTAGCTCAAGGACACTGATACTGATACAAACCTAAGTGGTTAATGTGGTGCCGTCTGTTTTTCAGCTGCCATCTCAACAGTGATCTGCGACGTACCCGAAAAGGCTTGGATGATTCTGGACTGTGTCAGCGGAAAAGGGCGAACGGTGAAGACGATTGTGCTCATAGAGGCGTTTGACACTGACCTGGTGGCCCGTGGACAGGAGTGTGGCATAGATATTCTGAGTCTGAAGGAGTTTGAGGTGGGAATAATAATAGTAATAACTTAATCTTGCATTTTTTGTTGTTGATGTCAGGTGTTGAAAAAAGGTGCTGTCATACTTTAATATTTTTTGGTGTGCCTCACCATCACGTTGTTATTCAGTCGTAGAACTAAATGGAAATTAGGCCCTGCAGTGCTGTGTGTTTCAAGCATGATTATGATCAGCACTTCCTGCAGACACACTGTATCTCACTGTTGTAATGTTTTTTATGTTTTAAAGACCTTGGGGAAAGCCAACCACCAGAAACCAGTGGTGAGTATGAACAGCCCATTATGACCTGTTAATTACATGACAAAAAGCTCTTAATTCTTACCAAATTACTACAAGGAGAATCATCTTTTCAACTTAGACAATTCACTTACGTAATCAGCAGGACTGATTAGGTATTGCACTGTTCTAATATATAGCATCTTAAACATTTCTAGTGCAACAGCAATTCAGGCTTCTTGTGCATTAGTGTAGATCTGTGATCTTTATTACAGCTCCCTAATCCAGAGGACCTTGCAATTGTCTGCTTTACATCTGGAACCACAGGTAATCACACAGCTGGTCACAACTGTAACCTTCTGGCAATGTTATTTTTTTTTAACCTGGTGTATAATCATGATGATAATTTTCCTTTCAGGAAACCCAAAAGGTGCAATGCTTACTCATGGAAATGTAATCTCCAACACTGCAGCTTTCATTAAAATTACACAGGTAAATGAACACAGCAGCTAGGTTTGGAAGATGTCAAATTTAAGTATTGAAAATGTTTAATAATGTATGTTTCATTCTGGTCCCCTTGTTTTTAAGGTGGATGCTCTTTCTTTGATTTAGTCACTAAAATGGTGTTAATATTTCCCTAAAAAGACACTAGAACATCCAAGACAAAGCAGTAAGAACGATTCTCTAAACACATCTAACATAAAGTCCTAGTCTCCTATCAATAGACTAGTATGACTTTTGAATAGGATTGATATTGATCATCAGTGATGCAGCATTTTACAAAGCACATTTTTTATTTGTTTTATTGCTGCCACTGTTACAGAACGTGCAAGAAATTTCACAACAATTTGTTATTTGCTAGATAAATATGTAAAAATGCAAGAAATAGCATCCTCCCACTTTTCTTTTGTGCCGCCTCAACTTCTGACAACTTTGCATTCAGGAGATTTGGATCAAATGAAACGTCAGCATTGAGCTATTCAATGGAGCTTGCTTACATTCTAAAATCCCTGTCTTACTCAGGTTGACCCCCCTTCATATTTTCATGTCCGTCTCGTCTCTGTTCCTCTTCCATCTTCCTCTTGTGTCTGTTCCTTCCTCCCCCCGCATGTGTGTTGTGTTGTTGTCCAGGGCACACTGAAGGCCAACAATAAAGATGTGCTCATCTCCTTCCTTCCTTTGGCCCACATGTTTGAAAGGGTGGTGGAGGTACAGTACACCATGCTTGACCTGCGTACACGCATGTGTTTTGTTTTGTGTCCTCCCTCCGCAGGTACACTGCATGCTGGACCTTCATGACATTCATGTATCCTATCTACCCCTAGCTCACATGTTTGAGAGGGTTGTACAGGTATGTGTTGGGCTTGTTTACCTTTGGAAGAATTGCATAATGAAATTATAAGTGGAGTTTAAAGAGTCATAGTCATAATTATTAGAGTTATTAAAACTATAGTTGTGAGTCTCTGGTTTTTAATAATGTAGTTTGACTTTATAAGTAGGTTTTGTTTGTAGATTATAAAAAAATTCATGTGAGACATTCGGGAATATTGACCAGTGCTCTGCTACTTGCTTTTCATAACAGTATTTAGGCTTAGTTGCATGTTTTCATGATTTCCTTCTAACTTAACTTAGAGTTAAGGGCGGGGTATTGAATATTTTTGCAGTACCAACCGAAATGCAACTGTAGAACAGAGTATCTAAAAGTTGTGGCATTAAATTATTGATTATATGGTTTAATTATTCTTTGAGTGGATATTTCCATATTTATGTCATAACTTTATTAATTTTTGATTGGTATTTTAGCTGCTTTTTATTAAAACAAAATTAGAAACTGATGGGGTTTCGCAAATGTTTTGTCAAATTTATAAAGAGAAAACATTTTTTTATTATACCTAGCCCTCTGCAGCTTTAAACAGACTGAGAGACTGTGTGTGGTGTTATGAAGTGCTTCCAAAAATGCCAAGCATGTTGGTCAACTTCATGTATTTCTTAGCTGTTGTGATGAATTTTGTGATTAATATATTTCCAAGGAATTTTTAAGTAACAGCTTCTGAATTTGTAAAATACATCAGTGGGTTTTAAATACCAAACATTGGATCTGTGGTGAATTGTTAACAACACTGCCCCCTTGTGGATAAAACGCCACACTGATTTAACTTGCACAGTAGGAATAAGCAGATCTCTTTTCGTCAGGGAGTCGTCCTCATCCATGGGGCTCGAATCGGCTATTTCCAAGGGGACATTCGACTTTTGATGGATGATTTGAAGACTCTGCAGCCGACGGTCTTCCCTGTGGTCCCTCGTCTCCTCAACCGCATGTTTGATAAGGTCAGATAAAATATACAAGCCTACAAAAGACATGGCAAAGAGAAATGCCATCTGATTCATCTTCTTCTTACATTTTCCAGGAATTTTTCTCTGGTCCGCCACTTGTTTAATATAAGATGTGATTCTCTGTGGCAGACAGGCTCTTAAAATAATCTCCGTTCTCAACAGGTATTTAGTCAAGCAAACACACCGCTGAAGAAATGGGTGCTCGATTTTGCTTTCAGGAGGAAGGAGGCAGAGCTTAAAAGTGGTGTGGTCAGAAAGGACAGCATGTGGGACAAAATCATCTTCAAAAAAGTACAGGTAAACACGGCTGGCTCTGCAAAAGCATCTTATGTGTCTGTTCAATTCGCAACATTGAAACATGACATTACTGATATTGGGCATTCTTAGCTTTGAATGAGGCATGGTCTGTATTTGTACGTACGTTCCTAGTTATTATAGGTCAGATAAACACCAACAAAGTTCCTTACAGTAATTTTCATCATTCGTTTTTTATGATGCATCAGAAACAGTTTGAACATTGCAGGTCTTTCTGTTCGTTTCACTCTTTGCAGGCGAGTCTGGGTGGCCGTGTGAGACTCATGATCACAGGAGCAGCTCCAGTGTCTCCAACCATCCTGACGTTCCTACGAGCTGCACTGGGCTGTCAGGTGAGTCACATCCACACATGCCCCTCTCATTGATGAATAACTTTTGTTTTCATGACTCACTTAAAAAAAATAAATAAATAAAAAAACATGCCCTGCACTCCCCAGTTTTATGAAGGCTATGGCCAGACTGAATGTACAGCTGGGTGCACCATGTCAATGCCCGGGGATTGGACAGCAGGTAAAAAAGCTACGTCAACCTGCTGCTCATGTATTACGCCCTATGTGTGAAATGTACACAGTTATTTCTCTGAATCCTGAACAGTGATTCTTTTGTGGCTCCAGGTCACGTTGGGCCTCCTTTGCCCTGCAATGCTGTCAAACTGGTGGATGTGGCAGAAATGAACTACCTTGCAGCCAACGGAGAGGGAGAGGTAAGGAGAGGCTTCAGTGACAAACAAATACACACAGTGGGTGGGAAAATGTATTTATTTGCTTTGTATTCAAAAACAGAATTTCCTATAAATGCTTACTAAAATACTTAATAGTATTATTTTAACTTATTAATATAAACAAAGATTTCCCTTCAAAGACCAAAAAAAACAGTGAATTTATCCTACAAACAACAATTATTATTATTGTTGTTATATTATTAAAAGTAAAACACACTTGACTTCAGAGGAAACTAAAGAAGCCAATTTAAATCATGATGAACACAAGTAATACATTTTAAAGCCTGTAAAGTCAACCCACTAGCATAGATATAAATGTGATACCTTTACATGTGTGTTAATGTAGATGCAATTTTTTTTCCATCCATGTTATCTGTCCATCTAGGTGTGTATCAAAGGACCAAATGTATTCCAGGGATACCTGAAAGATCCCGAGAAAACAGAGGAGGCCATTGACAAGGACGGATGGCTGCACACAGGAGACATTGGGAAATGGCTTCCTGTAAGCAAAACAGACTGAAGGGCACTATTGATCTTTGATTATTGTTATTCTGGGTAGATCTATTAAGTCTAGTGGCAAATCATCAGTTGCAACCTTAATTTATAAAGTTGTGTTTGTTGCAGAATGGCACCCTGAAGATCACTGACAGAAAGAAACATATTTTCAAACTGGCACAAGGAGAATACATCGCCCCTGAGAAAATAGAAACTGTCTATAATCTCAGTGATCCAGTGGCCCAGATATTTGTTCACGGTGACAGTTTACAGGCAAGTTATTAATGTAAAACTGGTAACGCAGTGAATGTCAGATATTCTTATCATAAAACACAGTGCAGTTTGTAGTTTGTTAAAATTTGCACGGCACTGATCTTCCTGGTATCTGTGTTGTCTTTTTCAGGCATGCCTTGTGGGGATAGTGGTACCTGATCCAGACTTTTTACCTATTTGGATCAAGAAAAAGGGGATTGAAGGGTCCTACTCTGAACTGTGCAAAAATCAGGTGAGATTCATTAATATCAGCAGTCCAAACACACACAGTCCCACATGCTATGAATGCTAACACTTTTCTGTTTTTAGGATGTGAAGACTGCCATTCTGGAGGACATCTTGAGGTTGGGCAAAGAAGCAGGACTCAAGTCTTTTGAGCAGGTGATTGTTGCCGTGTTTGAAGTTTAAAGTTCTAAATTTTTCATTCTGCTGCATTTGATCTGGCAACAACATATTTGACTCAATAATGATTGAAATTAGAGCTAAAATATCTATTTTATTGACTGACTGAATAACTAACCAACTTCTTTGATAATCTATTAGTAATTTTTCAAGCAAAAAGCTTTTCTTCACTTCATTGGTTACACAAACAAGGAATTTTAAGCCAACACCGCGGGCATTTTTCACAAGTTTTGGACACAATGAAACAAATGATTAATCAGCAGATTAATCACAATTATACTCTTTGTTCATATATATATCATTAATTTTTTGTTATTTTTTTTTCGTCTGCAGGTGAGAGACATTGCATTACATCCTGAGATGTTTTCTGTCCAGAACGGCCTGCTGACACCAACCCTGAAGGCCAAGAGGACCGAGCTTCGGAGCCACTTCAGAGAACAAATTGATGAGCTCTATGCCAAAATTAAGATGTAAACTGGGATCGAGGAGTACTGTAGCACACAGCCAGAACCAAATAGTGTATCGAGGGGAAAGTCAATTTATTTTTCTACCAGTCACAGCCTTCACAATTCTGTGGGGATTGCTTTCAAACAAACTGAATAGTGGATATTTATCTGAAGTATGTATTGTTCCAGCTAAATCAAATAATTTTTCCACTGAATTTGCCCAGCTACACCTGGCTAATTAGTTCAGAATATCCCAGAACATGCCGTCATGTTACTGGTATAATTTATCCAAGGGTTAAAAAACACAAAAGAGGAAATGTGATTTGCTCAACTGCCATTAAGTCTGACTACTTCATGGTCAGAAAGATCCATCCCTTGAAAACATTTGTGCTAGTTCTTTTTTTAAAATTAATAATTATTATTATTTTATTATTATTATTATTATTATTATTATTGGGAGCTGCAGAGAAAATCCTATAAACATGCGTTCACACCGGTGACAAATATTGAGTATTTATATAGCAGACTATTTAATGTTTTGGTCACCTATTTAAGTTGATATTTAATGTAATCATTAAACCTGTAAATAGTGTATCTGCTAAAGAGTCTATTTGTATGCAGAGTATCGTGCCTTCCCTGCATTCCCATGTTTCTCAATGCTGTAGGCTAAAGGACAGATAAAACCGGTGTTAGTGCACAGTTTAGTTGATAGCATATTGGGAATCTTGTTGCTTGACGAACTTCTTGTGCCTTCTTGGTTGTTTTTGTTTTCCTTCAACATTGCATGGAAAGTATTTAATGTTACTATAATGTATACATGAATTTCCTCCTTTTTAGATAATCAGATTTCTGTGCCACAGGCTGTTGGATAAAAGCTGCATACTGTCATTTGTGTAATGCACAATTCTTCAGGGTTGATATTTGGAACACTGGTTTCTCAAGGATCATTTAAAGAAGCCGGTTTTTCAAAATGAATTAAATGTCCGTGCCAGCATTTGCCATTAACATTTCACTGATGGTCCATGAAAACCACCAGTCTTGTGTGAACCAGAGCAGCAATTCAGCTGTTTGACACAAAGTTTGGTTGAATTTAGATGTTTTGACTGAAATATGATCAATACACACTAATCATGTTGAGGCCACTTGACATTTCAAGCCATATTGTTCTTTTCTTTCTTTTTTTTTATGATATGAAAAGGGCAAAGGTGCAGTTTTGTGCTGGATTTAAGTACAGTAGCTTTGTTTGTCAAGTGTACCAAATAAATACTTTCTTCCAAAACTTTGGTATTCAGTTTCTGTCTTTTATAATGGGAAATTGTCAATAAAGTGCATTAATCTGTGTATCTTGGCAACACTTTAAGGGCCTATACTTATCATTTATAAGCACTATTGAAACGTTTAAGAAATGTTTTATAACGCTAATTTAGTAATATAAAGCTTAAATAATATTAAGTGTTAATGTACATAAATTGTTAACGAGTGACTTCTCATTATTACATATTTTATATTATTTATTACATAAATGTGTTAATATATTGTATTTTATTGTCTGGCTTCACTTATTTATGCCCACAGGAGAGTTATTGACAAATACATAAAATAAACTCTTGTAACTGCTTCCAACCAGTGTTATAAACCATTTGTTTTATGCTGCTTAAAAATTCTAAATAGGAGGACTTAATGGTAAAGGGTTACCATTTGCTGTACAGCCAGTGCAAAACATCAAACCTCACCGTCTACTTGGAATCAAAATCTTCCAAAGATTTGAGCAGAAGCTGATCAGAGACATCCCCGTTGTTTTGTTCAAAGTCGTCCAGGCTCTCCAAATAGTCCTGGTCATCCTGTCCGTCTCCCCACACATCAGCAGGTTCCTTCTCTGGACACACTGGGCTCTGTGGGACCAGGTTTGGTCTCTGGCTGGGTTCAATGTTGCCAGCATCGTCCATTAAGTAATCCTGGTCTTCATCATCCTGTCCGTGAACAGAAGACACAATAATACAACGCTGAATGTTGTGAAAACCACCATGTCTCGGAGCTTTTAAAGAAGACAAACAGGATTTTCTAGGACGCTAGTTAAAATAAATCAAACAAACCAGGGTCATGATGTAGCCGATACAGATCTCCTGGGGCAGTGGGTAACCTGTAACAGTAGAAATGTTCATCTCAGACCAACACTGTGTGATTTATTACCACACAGACTGCATCATTTGCCCTCAAGTGGTTTTAAATATTAAAAACTCTGATTGGCAGCTCGTAGGGTCATAACGTACTTGAGGACCTGAAGTTCTTGCATTCAGGATCGTGACACTTCTGGTACCACACTTCCTCTTTGAGATCCACAACGATCCTGCAGAGGAGGGAGAGACTAAATCACAAGAGTGAAGCACACTTGAAGACTGTCTATAAAACTTAAAAACATACGTACATGATGTTGTTGCTTTTATGAAACCGTTTCACGTTCTCACACCAGCGGTATTTTGCGATGTCGTAGACGAGCAGTTGTTCAGCAGCAAAGTAGTTCCATCGTCTGATGCCTGTTGAAGTAAACGTAACAGACAGTACTGACATTACTTATACTAACTGTTACAATCAAATCTGTCACATTTTTGACCATATACAATTTTTTGATATTTATTCATTATTTAGTAATAGTGAGTTTATTAGGTACACCAAGCTAAAACGCATGCAGTTGGCAATAAATCCTATATTAATGGCCTGTTGTATTAGGCTGTGTTCATTTAAGTCAGGTGTATCTAATAAACTGGCATCTGAGTGTATATTATGTGCCAATTTGCACATTAAAAAAAAGTGAAATCTGAGATATCTACAGTATTATCACATCCTGATGTCAGTATTAAATGGATACATTTATGAGCTCTTAAAAGCTTCAGGAAATCGTGACATGTTTTCTGAAATTTTATTTCTAATTGTCAACAGATTAATCGAGAATGAAGATGACCATTTCTTGCAGCCCTAGGTCCCAAACTAGACATGCAAATGCTTTGAAAGTGAAAGCATATCCTGTATCAGCCCCAACACTTACTTCCATGTATGCCGTCCTTTTTAACCACAGTTAATACAAAGCTGTCCACTTCTTGATGAGGGGACGACAGGCAGCCAGAAAGTGAGTCTGCCAGTGAAGGATGGGGAATAGTTACATAAATAAAAAGTAATTACATTGAAAATATTAATATTAAGATAAAATATTGATATGCTGACTGATTCTATAATACACTATGTGTATATGCACAATATAGAGAGAAGCCTCTGTTGTCTGTTACCTGGATTTGTGGATGATCCCTGCTGGCAAGGGGACCTCAATGTTTTGGCTTCTTTTGTTTCTGGTACGTCCCAAGTAAGAATTCTCTGACCTGTAAAACTGATGATACACAGACAAAAGATGCAATGCTGTGGCTTCACGAAGGTAATTCCTTTAACACACAGAAAAGTTGAGAGAAGAGTTAAAAGGTGTTCAATGTTACCTCAAATTACAGACCAAGGAAGCCAAGAATACACTCTCCTCCACAGAAATTCCCTTCTCAGGTTTGGCAATAAACTTGTTGTCGTCCGCCACCGTAAATGCAGCATTTTTCCCCACTTTTGAGGACTTGTAAAGGCGGAAATTTCTGTTCTTGGTGTAAACACCTGTTTTTGGAAATTATAACCATAATTACATACTGGCAAGATTTACAAAGGGGTCCAAGAATGTGCATGTGTCTGATATGAGGGTAAAAAAATACATTTTGTGGTTTCTCTTACCAAGATCAACAAAGAGACTGTCTTGGCCATCCTTGTTTTTCACCAGGAGGAACCCGAGGTCTCTCTCTTCCAACTTGCGTTTCTTGGTCTGTGGACTTTCAGGTACCTCACCGGCCTTGGCCGACTTCCCCCCAGAAACAGCATGCGTCCTGCTGACAGAACATAATTGTGTAAAATTACCCAAAGTGATGACAACAGATATATAAAAGCATTTATTTTCTCTGGTCTAAAAAACAAACCGTGTTTCACCGTTTTCTTCTAATGAATTCATTCCAACATCTGGGGAACTTCCACTTTTGCTCAGGACTGGTTGAAGTATTGCATGGATAAACCTACCTATTAAAATTTTTAAAAGTTGCATATGAAAACTGTATTGTTATATATGAAAACTGTATTTGTTGCCTCCACACAACAAGAAACATACCCATATGTATGTTGTCTTTGAAAGCTGCATTTCTGAGATTGAAGATGAGATGTCGACTGAACTTCTCTTCCGTGCTGGAGTCAAGATTGAGGACATTTTTTGTGGTGCATTCAACCCCATAAACTTCCATCAGCTTGTCACAAATATACTGTCAACACACAAAACACAGACAGGTAAATATACAAATTTTAGGTAAAAACGTAACAAGATATCTTCATATAATGCATCCAGATGTTCCTCTCATATAGGACAGATTCCAGAAGCAACTGTAACTCTGTCACTTTTTCACAGTTTAACATTTATGTCAATACCTCTAATCTAGAAGCAGACCCTTTACTAATTAGACTTGGCTCCTCTGAGTTAACCACAAACTTTACTATCCCTCATTAGAAAAAATACATATGCTCACATACCGAAAGAAAAGTACAGTCACCCATGTTTATCAAATGTGTTTGGAAGATTTAATTAATACCCTAAATTAAGAGAAGATTGCTTTAAAAACAAGCTCTTTCAATTTAATAGAATTTGGCAAACCCCTAACTGCAGAGGTACATCTTAACATTAAAATAATATAGGTGAATTATATACCAGAAATGGGTGGATTTCTTTCCTTTGGTTTACTTTTTTGTTATTACTGCTCCTATAATCTTACTTACCAGTTGCGTGTCAAGTGGATACTTCTTCTGCTTTATAAATGTTAAACTTAAGAACATCTGAATCATCAAGCAAGCTGCTCTTGTAGCAAGATACATTGTCAATGAAAATGCAAAAAGGATTTCACCTGGATAAGTGAAGACACCATTGTCTTCCCATCAGCTCCTTTGTTTGAGGGCTTGTGGAACTCCAAGTCAAAGTAAAGCTTACAAACAGCACCCTCTGGTATCACCTCATAGCAGTGCATCAAAGACTGTGTGTAAGTCCTGATAGAGACAAATCACCATCAATGGATTTCGATACGTTGTTTTCCAAACACACGTAAAAAGGTGCACCTTATTTTGCTATGTAGAACTGATATTTACCTGTAGTAATGCCACAGCTCACTGTAACTGGTAACCAGGTAGATCCTTTGCCCCAGGGGGGTCTTTTCTTTTTCAAGTGCAAACACATGTACGGCCTGTACACAGGACACAAATAATTTTTTTAAAGTTTTTTTCCTTAGGATGTAAAATTTGAAATACAGACTAATGAGTCCAGAATCAGAAATGTCTTACCTCTTTGCAGCTCTGTGCGAAGCTGATCGCCATAATTTGGCGAGGGAAAAGCTTCCATACGGAGGATGGCTGGCACGGCCACAGCCGAGGTTTGTAGTGCGAGGCCAGGGGATTCAGCTGGAACGACTGAGCAAGCTGCTCAATCTTCTTCAGTCTGTCGCCCCACTTCTTCATCCTCAAGAGCTTATAAACAACTTATACTGTTTGTGACCCTTTATTGCACCCACAGTAACATCTACTTCCAAACCAAGGTTGGAGGTCAGCTACAGTGCAGCGCCCAGGAGATGTTAGAAATTCAGTGACTTGCTCAAGGACACTTCACAGATGTATCACAGTGGATACTTGAACTGTGGTCCTCTTGACATCCTACACCTAGAAAAACCTGCATTAAGGAGAGAGTTATTTAGCCTCACTGACATAAATGGGGTAGAAAAAATGAAAGAAACGCCTTGTGTCAGTACAATTCAACAGCACAACAAACAGCTGAACCAACAACACTCTAACACAGTTTCAACAAAAACTGAACATTATAAGCTCCATGAAGGTAGGACTTATTGCAGGACTGTTGTATTAGACTGCATTAGTTTGTGCTAGGTGTAGCTAATAAATGACAATGTATCATCAATCAGTATATAAAATACTATGTAAAATATGATTATAAAACATAATTGATCCTTATAGATATCCTTAAACAGTATATAAATAAACTGGCTCTACTCTACTACTGGCTACAACATTTAAATGTTATTAACATTAGTAGAAATAATACAATAATATAACAGCTCTTGTCTGTGTTATATTATTATTATTAACTTACATATCATAATATTTCATGATGTTTTATATTTTTATTATAGGTTTTCAAATCTGCAAAGTAACTAACGTTAGCAACTATGCATTTAAAATAAAAGTAGAGAATATTTCCCACTGTCTTTAAGCATAAAACTGAACTTTTGAAGCACCTTAAAGATGTAACTTGAGTAATGAGGTCAATGTTAGACCCTAATAAACACAGCTGAAACATCAATGTGTCAGAGCTAACTCATTTAGAGCTAGAGTGTCTTTAAGAGTAACGTTGTCCATAACTCACCAGTAGTTCGGGTTAAAGAGTAAAACAGTCCAGAAGTAATGTTACATTCACGTTTGTGTTCTTATTCTCTCTCAGTGAACAGGAGGCTGTAACAGAAACAAACTTCAGTCTCGTTTTTCTTTTTGGCGCCTCTGGAACCGGAAATGCTGCTGTTTCCGGTCAAAAGTCGTACAGTCAGCAGACAAAATTATTGTCCCAGTTTAGATTAAAACCTGTATTGTTTATAAGAAATAACAGTGTGACCTAATGATAAAAGAAAGTTGACAAGCTGTTTAAAGTACAAGCAGTGTAAACATCAGTACGCAAGACCGGAGATCTCCGATTTACGACTTCCGGCTACATTTTTCAAAAATAAAAGCCTTTTACTATAATATGAGTGGATGTAACTTAAACTGTCAGTGACATAAACAGACAGTAAATACAAGAACAACAGCTGCTGTGGTTGCTTTCAGAGCCATTTAAATCTCAATGACTCTCTGGTTGCTCTCAAAATAGAAATATAAAAGCGCAGATATGACATATCTCATAGTGCTGCTTGCATATGTCATTGCATATGTCACAAATTCTATTAAATTGAAAATTGTAGGGTATTGATTTAATCTTCCAGACACATTTCAATGGTTGTGTTTTCTTTCAGTATGTGAGCATATATATGTCTTTAAGCATTAGTAGACGTGAACATTGCTGTTGGGTCTGCATTACACATTTTTCCGTGCAGTTAAAGTCGTGCATAATGGTGTTGGATGTGTTGAATTCTGTTTAATGTAAGCATACTGCTGTTTTGGCTACTTCACAAGTAAAACACACACTTGCAATAGTCTACCTGCTTGTTGTGATGTTTTACCTCCATGTAAAACACCTGCAACATAAATGAAATGTATCTCTACAAAATTGTACTGCACAAAATAAATTGAATCAGAATGGATATGTGTGGTTGCCTGTTTGGTCCCTGTGTATGCAAGTAGTAAATATATTTACATTTATTTATATATTTGTATAGGCCTACTATAGTGTTTTCTTCCAACCTATACTTGAATCAAACACCAAAAATGTTTATATTTAAGTCCATAAACTGTCCTCCTCTTGCAGAGCCTGGCACTGCTTGGATCTAGAGAGGATGGCATGTTGTCAATACTGCTCCACCCACTTAAACTCAACACTTATCAATGCTCTTCAGTGGGTTGTGTGCCAGCAAAAAGGGAAGGAAGTGAGAGGAAGTCAGGAGGTGGGGTATGACCTTGCAGACCTGCCCAATCTCTAAGGGACACCAAAGAAAACAACACCATATGTAGCATTTAGTCATTACCAGCACAAGGGCACATCCATTAAGTTGCTTTAATCAATGAAACTGGTAGAAAAAGTTTTGCCGGGATATTTTTTCTATGTTAAATATAGAATCTGTATCAAAGCATTTTTTTTCTGTACTTTACATGTATGTCACAATGTGTGACCAAAACCTGAAGACTGAAATATAATCCAAAGCATTGTTGGAATTTAAAGAAATGTGAAATTAATTGTCTGAAAGGTCCAAATGCACTGCACTGCACTGCTGAAGAACCTGGAAGGTGAAATATAAAACAATCAGAGTTGGAAGGTGAACTGCACGAGTCAGCATTCACAGTAATAAAGACACACACAAAAAAAGCAGCACAACACATTTATTGCTGGGCTGGACCATTTATGTTTATCTGGTTCGTAATAACATCTGTACAAAGCAGCAAGAGCTCACAGTAAATCAGTAGCTCTAGCAGAACATAATCTTGACATGAGGGGAATGTTATTTCCTTCCACAGGAAACGAAAAGGAGTTGCCTGGTGAGATTTTTGACTTCCTCAGTGGTAGCGTTCTGCAGAGAATGACCCCACCCCTGCAGTTTTACATATATGGACTTGATTTTTTGAGTTACTCCCAGAAATTTCTTTGCTTGAGGTATGTGCCTTTCAGTGTTTTCAACATTTCAACATTCATTTAAGTGTTTAATCATTTGTGTTTGTCTTTGCCATATTCCAATGAAGGAAAACTGATAATGTTAGCTTGAGGGCTTGTCTAAACAAAGTATCTGGGCAATAAACCAGATCATGCCATTTTTGGACTGCGTATGGCATTGTGGAACTTTTTATTCAAGTTTGGTCATGCAGATTTTATTTCAGTTTCAGCTGTTTGTGCCGATAGAAGACAAGAAGAAGAAACCTTCAAAATGTGGGACAAAATAAAACTGCTTCTAGCTGCAATCATTTTCACAGCTCTCTACTGCAAAGTAAGTATTGTTTCTCTTATGATGTTTTGATGTTAAAAACAAGTCTCTTCTCTTGAAACTATTTTAAATTCTACACTCAAAGGTGACTGCAGAGAGACCAATACTAATGGACATGGCCCCAGATTCTGTAGACAACCAGTACAAAGGATGTCATCAAGAGGCCTTGAAGAAGATCCAATCAGGCCTGTTACAACAAGAGCTCCGCGGCAATGAGTTATTCCAGAAAGCATGGAATGCAAGTATCCAGTGTACAAAGCTGATCCCTGGAGGAATAAAAGAACACACTGCTGCACTTTTGGCATATATCGATGGGGATGCACAGTTTATAAGTAACTTTAACAATGAAGTGAAGGCAATGGGCGTAAATGTTAGCACCTATGAAGACCGCTTCGCTTTCAAGTCTCTCCATTTCCTGCTGATGGATTCGATAAAGCTGCTGTATCCAAAGAAGTGCAAGACTCTGTATCTTCTCTCAGATGGACCATACACCGTAAAACAGGGCTCAAATGTGAGAGTTGGGGGGTTCACCAAAGTTCATTCAAACTATAAAGAGATGAAATCAATGGAAGATATGGATGGCCTGGTCATTTTTAACATCACTTCTTGCTTCTTTGCCAACCTTGGAGACAACATTTGCAAAGATGAAAATACTGCACTCTTATCTCCAGCTGAAGTGTTCACTGTGGAGTATTTAAATAAAACAACTGATCCAGATGAAGGGAAATACACAGAAGTTGTATTGAAACACTCAAAACTGGACAGCTCGCTCAATTGTTTTTCACGGTAAGACTCACATCCTCTTGATTTGAATATTTTGCTCAATCCAAAATAATAAATTTGGAATTATGAGAGTTATATATCAAAACTGTGTATGATCTTTGAATCTAACAGAATTAATGAGTAATTACTTAAAAGTGTCAAATATGTGAAATAGATACAAAGACCACATAGTTTAATGAAGAATAATATTTTAAAGTAATGAAGTCAGAGATCATCTAGCAAATAATAAAGTATAATTGAATTGGTTATCATGCTTTCCATTATAATATTAATCTACCAGAAATTTTAAATGTAGCCTATCTACAAACACATACAAAACATGTATGTTAGATTAATTTCTCCAGTGAGTGCCCTCGTCCAGAGACCTGTAGTTGGTACCCGGGTGCTGTACAGTGGCTGTAGAAGTTTTTCACCCCAAAAAGCAGAAGAGGAGCTGTGGGTTTTTTTTTTAGCCCTGAGTGTATTGCACCAACAACCTCAACCAAGAAGGCAGGACAGCTGTTGCCAAAAAAAAGTTACTACTGAGTGCACTGTAATACCTGAAGGAAACTCAGATGAGCATTTTAATGAACTTAAAGCTTTTGGATTTTGGTGGTTGGACAGAGGACACCGTTCACTTCTCTTTTTTTGAGCGGGGCAAAAATAGGAAAGAATGTGTGTGGGTGTGGTTTATTGACATTAAATCACTTTCATCAGATTTTGATTCAGATGTTAATTCCTGATTGGTGCATGGAAAAAGCAAAAATAAATTTTAAAAAGTTGATGGAGGAAATAGGTTTTCAGGGCATTTAAGATGTTTTGATGTTAATGATCTCTCTGTGTTTTTGTCTCTAGGTCCCCAGCTGATGTCTCCACCCAGTGGCTTGTGTTGGTGCTTGTGGCTTTCTCTCTTTTCTTCTTTCACTGAAAAAACAAAGAATTACTTCTACCGCATTTTTTTAATTATAGACTCTATCTATCTATCTATCTATCTATCTATCTATCTATCTATCTATCTATCTATCTATCTATCTATCTATCTATCTATCTATCTATCTATCTATCTATCTATCTATCTATCTATCTATCTAGTTTAGTTTAACATTTTCAGGGTAGTGAATGTATGTAGGTTAAACCAGCTTGCACTGATCTACAATGTAGTCACATTTATTTGCAGCTTGCAGAGTACTGACAGAGCATAAACCTGTCAACCTCACTGCTCACAGTCACAGCATCCAGCGGTTCTTGATAAAATACTGTACTTCAAGTGTTACTGCTTCTAAAACCACAATATCTTGATTTAATCTTTCTTTTTCCACCATGTTAAATAAAAACATGCAAAATGATTTATGATTGATTGATTTAAAGATACAGTGTGTAACATTTGGGAGGATCTACTGGGAGAAATGGAATAGAATATAATTTAAAAAATACGTCTTCATTAGTGTTTTCATTTGTTCATTATATATTTACTGAAACCTTTTGATTTATTTTGTTTCACATGAATATAAGAATCGTTGAGCCATTTTTATTTACAGAGTCTTCCATGGAGGCAGCATGTTGAACCTCTATGTTTCTACAGTAGCCCAGAATGGACAAACCAAACTTCACACCCATAGTTTCTCCAACACATTTGAAATGCTCGTGTAATCAAATGATTGCAATCTGCAACTTTACCACTATGAAGGCCACTGAATGCTACACTCTGGTCCTTCAATCAGACTCAGATCAGAGTAACAGAGTAATAGTACATCGGTGTGAACCGTTGTTGGTCAACGCCCCACAGAACAGCACTTTTAAGTTCACTTCCTGATCTGATAAACTATCATTGTAAGTAATTCAAATAAAATAAAACAATCTGGTTGATTACACACACACAGCCAATGTGATCTTTTATTGTCATTTTATGTCATAAAACAACAAAACAAAAACACAAATTCACCATAAAGGCAATAATTCATATAATTTGTGTCTATGTGTGTTCGGCACCAACATATTCTAACACATAGTACATACACTTAAACCACAAAATCATACTTACAGTAAAAACTAACTTTTAAACAGTCCAAAAATCATTGGAAAATGGCACATGTGTTCTTCAACTAACAGAAATTACAGCAGCAAGCACTTGTGAACTTACATTGTCATAAAATGCAGGTAACATTCAACCAGGATCATTTAATATCAGTGTCACTGTAATAGACTTTTCTGTTTTCTCTGGTAGAGCAGCATTAATACTGTTACTGCAGTTATTGTTGATGAAATCTACTTTAATCACCACTTTAATCAAATGCATATACTACTATGTTATATAATAGCACACTGAGTGTAACATCAAACAAATGTTATTACAAAATGTCAAAAGCAGCTTAAAGTATTTTATTCATGATGCTGACAAAGTATCTTAATTTCTTGTGGTGAACAAGATAATAAAGAGATTTATGACTTTGAGCTGTTTTACCAACAGATGTGAATAAGCAGTCACAAATATTTTTGTATTTGTTGTCTTAACAGAGAAGTCGATAAGAACCAGTGATTTATTGTGGACCATTGGTTTTTGACAAAAGTAAAAAAGATATAAATCATTTTAAATACTGTATATCAAAAACATATATATTTAAAATATACATATAACATTATCATACAGACATTTAAAATATCTTCAAAATGTATTCTACCATCAATCATGTTTTACAACAGAAACATCAATAGCTGTCAAATGATTAAACCCAAGAATGTACATAAACATGCAACATCCCTTCAGGCAAATATTCAATTAATTTAGTGAATATATCAAGGAAATGGCGAACACTTAATACCAATGTTAAAAATGTACATATACATTAATCAATTGTCTCTCACTGACTGGTTGAAATAATCCTTTTTTGCTAAATAAAATTTTGCCTCACATTATTTTGTCTATTTACACAAACAAGCCCACGAAGATACATTTTAGGATACTAAATAACTAAATAATAAATAAAAATAAATGTAAGATTGCACATAAAATGTTCAAACTAGTCGTCAGCAGCATTTTATCATTTAAAACAGTTGAACCTCTGAAATGAAATGTTCAAATTAATTAAATGAAAGGCATTAATGTCAAAAGAAATCAGATATGTTGCTGTATCTAATATAACAGGATAATTTGCAAAACTGAATCTTGATAAAGTGCTCCACCACTGCTGACATTACTCACTCAGCTACAGAGACAACCCCCAACCTTGTATTTGTTTACATTTTGGCAAATTGGCACTACTAAGATTATTAGCAGTTCTTGTTTGAAATGTACCCATCGATATAAAAACAACTATCACTGAAGTACTTTGATACTGAAAATGAAAAGTGAAATGGGTCAAACTACATGAACTAACGTCTCGTTAGAGCACCAACATATATCTGTCTCTTTCATGTCATGTATGCAGTATCTTTACTTCATGTTCTTCCTCAACTTTCACATTCCTCCGTTAAATTTGACAAATCAACGCTATGTCCAGATTTAAAAACGTTAATTTCCCCTTTCCTTTAATGTGTTATATAGCTTTTTTGTGCCTGTAGAAGGTCTGCAAAGTCCATGCAAAAGGGAGTTACTGTTTCCCACAGAGAGCACTGCTCCTCAACTTTTGACATGTCTCGTTTGTATTCTAGCTCTGAAAATATCCTTGTTAACAAAGCCCAGGGTGATGTTGTGTTTAGGGTTAGGGTTGTACTGAATTAGGGTACTGGCACCTTTTTGGGTCCAATTCAGGCACTGATGTAATATTTTAAAACTGTAATTATAGGTTTACACTCCCAACACAAGAATACGAATCTGAATAATATGGCCTCTTTAATTAACATTTATCAGCTCTATAAGTGAACAAAAAACAGGCCAATCAGCATTTGTCAGCTCAAAATAATGTGCCAAAGCACTAAGTTGGAGTGTGTCCAGTGGAGACAACTAATTGTCTTTATTATCGGGCTCAGAGTTGAGTCTTGACCTGTTTCCACGGGAACAAGTGCTCTTGTCTTTGCTGAGGATGCTGGTGTCGACCCGAGAGAGGGTGCACATGCTGCTCTGGTGACCCGGTCGAAGTCTTGTGTTTTGGAGCTCCAGCTCATCGTAGCTTGAGACATGGACAAAGGGACACCAGCGGAAAGCCCGCTTGAAGCCAGCCCGGAACCTGCAGCCAAATCAAATCATGTACATAGACAGTGCCTACATTTGTGTTTTGAGGTTGTGGGGGAGACTTAACTGTACTCACCTACTGTTGAGGCAGCAGTAGATTATGGGGTTGTACATGGTGGAGCTCATTGCCAGCCACAGCACTGACAGGTAAACCTGCTGGATGTATTTCCATTTGCTCAGATGCTTGTTGAGACCCGTCACAATGAAGTAGACATGATAGGGCAGCCAGCAGAGGGCAAAGGTCACCACAACGATGATCATCATCTTCACCACCTGCAAGTGAAAGGACAGAATAATTTAAAACTATTAGCAGGACAGCATTAGATACCTTTCTTCAGTGTTGCAGGGAAGCACAGGTGTGTTTTTGAACCCTAATGAAGTTCAACAATGTAGCCAATAGCAGCTGCCTAAACTGAATTTGGGTATGTTTTTTGGCACCTCTCATATCATAAAGTTGTTATGGTCAACATGGTAACAAGCTGTTTATTATTTACACATTATATTGCACACATTATTTCATTTTGCACACATTCATTTGGAGTTGAGCTTGTATGGACCTGATGGATGTAAATCCATTTTAGCTCTGTTTTTGGTCTCAACAAACAAAAAATATCAGACTCTAAATGCTTAACTATGGTAGCAAGTTGCTAACTTTGTATGCTGGCTGGTAGGGAACAGTGAGTTGGAAGCTGAAATGCGGTTGATTGAAGTGCTGAGACTGCTTGTCTATCGATCACAAAGGTTAGAGGTGAAGGTTCCTCTTAACTTTACTGGCAAATAACCTCTGATAATGCTCTGTTGGTTTGTTCTTATTCCATTTCTACCAATACATCCTCATAAATGTTGCATAAATTCAGCTTTTTTCCCACTGACTCATAAACCATTGTTTTATACTTCCAAACAATTCCATCCTGCATCGCGTCCACCCTCTGCAACGGAAAAAACCTCGAATTACGGAAGCAAAACATTGTCTAAAGGCTAATTAACTGTGATTTTGAACATCTGAAGCCATGGTAGCTCTTCGTATGCACATTCTCTTGAAAGTTACGAGTGTGTTGTCTGTTTTCCTTCTTTCTGATCACAATAATGTCCATTTTAATGAGTTCAGAATGACTGCCGTATGAAGAGAGGGAAAGGTCAGTGCTTACGCACCAGACCCAGCAGGTCCCAGATAGGACGGATGAGAGAGCGGCACAGACCTCATCAGCGTGTCGCAGCACAATGCAGAGCTGTGGGGGGTTAAAAGGAGCAGGCAACTATTATAACATCAGAAGAAGCTCATCTGCTAGACGGAGATGACAGAGACGACTTCCTCTTATCTCCGGCCCAGATGTCACCCTGTCAGCGCGGGCTTTTGAATCAAGCCTGACATTGTCTTGTAGCTTTGTTTCCTGACATTTATAAATCCCTTTTATCTCTCACAACTCAATTTTGCCAGCAATCTGAGCCTCTGATGATTTTTTGTTTTTCTAAAGCCCTCTAAAAGATTGTAAATGGCAAACCATCACCTGTCTCTATTTATGTGCACTGAATGGTTAGTGGTACCAAAAAAATAGGTCTAGGGGGAAAATCTATTTTCAAGTTTCTATTTCTGTTGTTTTGTTTTGTAGTTTATATTCACATTTCTTGTAAATATTAGTTTAATTGGACCATTGTTAAAAATAAGTTGCTCACTATGAAGGAAATGAATTCTTAAAATGTGATCCAAAATATCCTTTGACACTGAATACTTCCGCAGCCTAACCCTTTGACCCTTTAAATAATCCGACATGTTACCCTGCAGCATTTATGATGTATTTTGTGATATTTATCAATATTCTTTCGCGGTAATCTCAGGGTTGTCGTGATAGATGCTCTCCATGACAGCTGTGATGACCTTAATCCCTGGTTAACCCGACCTCGCTCTCCCTGAGTATCCGCGGCAAAGCACACTGTGTCTGACTGATGACGTCTAACTACATGGGAACAAGTGCCTCTGGATGCTGTTCTCTTCTTCTAGGCTGTAAAAGCCTGTATTAATACATGGCAACATAAAGTGCACTTAAACTAACTAAGGTGCATTTCTCTGTTTTCAGATAGTGAAGTGTGAATTCCCCTCACAGCACTGAACTAATGTGTTTTTGCAGCTCCGCATGACACATTTTATTGATCTAAGCTGTAAGTGGTCCACGGTGTGTTGTCACACCACAGAGACCTGATAGCATTTGTTTTAGCTCCCTGCATTATGTGTCTCGCTTCCTCTCCACCAGCAGAGGTCTTTCTAAAAAAGTCATCACTGACGTCATTGCTGTTGTGGACTGGTGTTCATGCTCCCGGGAGAGTACATTAGAGTACATTAAAGACCACTTAAGCTGGCAAGAGGTTCAGATACAACTGCAACAGAGCAGTTTTTGTCTTTTCTGTAACATTTTATGCTTTTCATTTTAAAAAAATGCTCTCAATGTGAAGATGCTTTCAAATAAATTGGCTTGAACCTCAATCATTTATCTCTCTATATGTTTGATTTATTCTGGTGACAATTTATAGTTTATTGAGTATTTGTAACAATTGAACTGTTTCGCTTTGTCTAGATGTTTAACAGATTACCTACAAAGTATTAAAGACAATTCATGAACCAACTTAACCAATTTATTTTTGGGCCTTAATTAAACATTAACCACAGTGGTGTAATATCAGAAACGGCTGTTGAATCTCAACTAATGAGGTGAAAATGTTACAAATACTCTACAAACTATCGGTAGATGGACTACACAAATATTCTTTCATAAAGTGGTTACTAGTCTTCCAGGGGTCCACACAAAGACAAGCAATAGAAATAAAGAACAATTTAAAACACAGCATAGATAAAACCATGAAAGGAAAACCAAAACAAAATGTCACAAATACACATAAACAAAAGGAAAATAAAAAACAAAAAGCACAACAATAACAAAATAACGTGAAATTCATCATATCAATTTTATTACACTTATATTCAATTATGTTTTTTACTTGTCTTTAGGCAAGTAAAGGTAAGTAGTTAAGTAGTTAAGTAGAAAAGTAGTAGAAGAAGAAATGTGTAATTATATCTGCCAGTTATACACAATTTTTTTGTCCTTTTAATAAAACTGTAAAAGAACAGAATCTTAACTTGATCCATAAATCACATTTGAAACCTCATGCACATGTGTACATAATCTGGTCACAAATACACCTCTCAGTTTCCCTTCTAAAGACACAAACTAAATCAAGAGAAAAAGTGTCAATATAGAAAGTAAATGTATTAAATAAAGGTGGTGTTTACCTTCCGTTTGGCCCTGAGCTGTCCGTGATAGTTATCAGATGAGTCTCCTGGGATCTCGCCTCCCCACAGTGTCACCCCCACGATGGTGTAAGTGATGCCCATCACCACTAAAGGTAGCACGTACACCAGAACTGTCACTATGATGTGATACCTGCAAATGTTGAGAAACATATGTATTTTAACTGGTGTGACTGAAGTAGTTCACCAACAAGTAGGATGAAGAGAGAGTGAACCAATGCATACAGTATAGAAATACATACTGTACAAGGAACAAGATTGCAGCCCAGTTTTGCAATGATAATGATGATGAGGTTTGACATAAACTATAAAAAAAAGGAGGGTTTGTCAGTGTTCTCACATGAAGGGGTCGTCGGCCATGCGGGGCCAGGCAACATAGCAGAGGGTCCTGCGGGGCAGAGCTCGGGTGGTGGAGAAGTAGCAGAGAGGGAAGGCCAGAACCACAGCTAGACTCCAGATACAGACGATGACTCCCATAGTGGCTTTCGCCGACAGACGAGGCTTCAGAGGATGGATGATAGCCATGTACCTGCAGGTCAAAGGTCACAACACTGGCATTTATGCTAGTAACATAACACAACAGTTTTGGTATGTTGCACTTAAAGCGACCCTGATACATGAACTTAAGGGGTTTATAAGCAGGGCCATTATCACAGCTGACATTTTGGAGAATGGGCTACTGTGACTCACTCACTGTATTGCTCAGATGAATATCTGTGTAAAGAAAGTTCAAAGCTGCTTAATAAAATGGGTCAATGGTTCAAGAAAATGTCTTCAGAACTGAAAAGACCATTAGTGATGATACAGTTCTTTTAGTCATCACTAATTTCCCACTAAGGTGTGCATCTTAACCTCTGAAGAGCACTAGATGATTCTTTTCATTAATAAAGTTAAATCAGAAAGTGACTGTTTTTTTTTTAAATGAGCATTGCCTCATTTAGTTTTACATTTTTCCATCTGAATATTAGACCAGATTCAAAGTAAAAACTCAGAGTTCCCCCCTAAGTAATTAGGGTCATACTGTATATATGCATTTGATCCTCTATATACAGAGGTAACAAATCCATTCATTTTCATTCAAAGCAATGCAATCTGCAATGCAACAACCATCTTCGGTAGAAAGATGGCTTCAAACTCATGTAGGCTATTCTTAAATAAGTAAAAGTAAACTGACTCAAATATCTGAGTTCATGAATTAATTATTGTAAAATGCAAAATATCTCACATTGTAAAATAAGTTATTAATATGTTAACTTGAAATAAATACTAATAACACTTCCCTGCCTGCTATATAATAACATCTTCCTCATACAGTCACTACCTGTCGATGGCTATCGCGCTCATGGAGTAGATGCTGGCGAACACCGCAGTGACAGGGAAGAAGTTGTGAAACCTGCAGTACACTTCTCCAAAGTACCACTCTCCGTGAGCCGCGTAGATGAAGTTGATGAGCGTGTTGAACGCGGCCATGGACACATCTGAGAAAGCTAAGTTCAGCAGGAAATAGTTGGTAACAGTTCTCATCCGCTTGTGCGCCAGAATAATCCAAATCACAATCAAGTTTCCAAAAACCGCCACAGCCAGCACGGTGCTGTAAGCCACCGACCACAGCGCGATGCGCCACGCCGGCTGCACGAACTGGTTGGTCAGATTTCTGGTTGTGTTGGATGCATCCCGTTCAGAGGCCATTCCTCACGTATCCTTAGTCGGGCTATGCTTCAGTCCGCAGCTGGAAGGGGACATAAATCACTTTGGCACCTCCGATGCACAACATACGCGCATGAGTGTTAACATGTGACCAGTGAGGCAGAGAGAGTCGTCCTGATGCAGCTGCTCCCTGTCACCACTCACACAGACGCAGTGGAGAATAAAATCTCATGAATTCAGGTTGAATCAGGTTTTAGCCTTGATCAGATACGTCTGTCAAAGGCTGCCAAGCTGATATGAGAAGGGCACGTAGGCTGTTTTAAAACAGCATTTTACTTTCTTCTGTTGTTATTTGATATTAGCAATTTCAAGATTTGTGTTTAAGCAGTTTTTGTCCACAACAGTGGTGGAGTGGAGGAGGTATTCAGATACTTTACTCAAGGAAAAGTAGTACTAATAGCCTTCCACACAGTAAAGATACTCTGTTAAGTAAAGTAAAAGTCCTGCATTGAAATGTTTTACTTGAGTAAAATACTTAAGTAGGTTATCAGGAATGACCACTGTGACAGTTATACTATATATTAGATTATTATTCATGCATTAATGTTAAAGTCGAATTTTAGTGTTGTAATTGGTTGAGGTGGAGCTCATTTTTTTGTATAGGACTGCAACTAATGATTATTTTCCATTATGGATTAATCAGCTGATTATTTCGATTATTCAATTGAATTAAATGGTTTTCTGAATTAAAAATGACTTCAAAATAGTTGCCAATTGAATTTTTGTCACTTGACAAATTGAGTAATCGATTAATTGTTTCAGCTCTACTTGTACATGTTTATACTGTTTGGTAGTTTTATTTATAACCAAGTATTTTATAAGCTCTTCACATGCTTTGTATGCATATACGATTTAGAAAGTAACTGTAATTAAAACTGTCCGATAAATGTAGACGTAGGAAGTGGCATAACATGAAAATACTCAAGTAAATACCCTTAAAATCTATACAAGTACAATACTGAATTGACTAAATTTGAGATTGCATTACATTACAGAACATCCATTTGGCAGTCCAAACGAAGTTACAATAAGTGCATTTACCCTCCTCCTTCAGCCTGATGCGAATCCAAACCTGATCAACAGGTGTGTATTGTGGTTGTTTCTTCTTGCCAGTCCAGTTCAAATGAATTTAATATAAATAATGGCTTTGACCTCAGAACCCTCGTAAATTTCCAAACCATTTCATTACAAAGGGCAGAAACTGCCCCGTCCTGTGTTTGAGCTGTCTAAGGCATTGGATGGGTCGGAGTGTGATACAGTTAATCCTTAATATCTGTGCCATCCAAATAAAGATTAGAGCTTTTATGTAAGTTGGACTGTATTATATAACCATAAGCTCAAAAAAGATCAAGTGTAAAGGCCATTAAGTATTTTGATGATATGACTCTCTCTGAATGTAAGTCAGACATCGCTTTATGTTGCACCTTCAACATTATCTGCAGAATATCCACAGTCTGATTTCTCACTGCGGGGTGAACAGACTCATAACAGACAGAGGAAAAAGGTGACCAGAGATCTGTTTCATTTAGGTTTCAGCACAACACTCTGTGCACACATTTAGTTAACTTTCTTTGTCAGCTTTGCTAATATTATAAGGTTTGTTAACTTTAACTTTAATTTTCATGAAATTAATTCAGTTTTCTTTGAGTTACCAGTTCCTGAAGGTTGCTGCTGGAAGTGTGTTGCCAACTAGGATTGATCTTGAGGAGTGATCTTGATTGCCAATTGGACTGCAACTTCCCCTCCACATGATGCAGGAGAACAAGTGTTTTCTAGTTTGAGTTTTGTTGTTATTTCTTTGACATCTATGCTTTTCATATGATTGTTTCATTATTTTTCCATTGTTAATATTAGGTTGCGTTACATTGACATGTTTAGTGTATTTTGTGGTTAGTTTAAAATGTTCTGCCTTAGTCTATTCCCTTGTGTGTCTGATAACTTAGTTTCCCCATATCTCAGTTTGTTTAGTCGGTTCAGTTCAGTGCAATTCACTTAATGTTAAGTTAACAACACCTGAGTTAAGTTCTGTTTAGTTTAACTTTATTGTATATTTGTATATTTCTGACTGCTGTCAAAATATAAGGGATTGATAAAGGTTTACCATGTGAGACATAAAAAAGGAAAGTTTTTAGTACACAGAAATGCTTCCAAAACCAACTTTTTTACTACCTTCCCAAAACTCTCAAGGGGAGTGCTAACATTGTTCCACAGCAGCCACAGACAAGACATTTTTTGTTTATCTGCCTTTCGAGACATCGGTTGATTATTTGTTCTATCACTACCAGAAATCCCAAATCAGATTCTGGTAGAGTTGTTATTCAAACTGAGAGCAGTGATGGCATCTGTCTCACAGAGGAAATACCCAGTTAGTATCTTTTTTCTCCTGCTGGGTACTTTACTGCCAATTAGCTTAAAATGTACCTGCTGTGCTTATTTTTATGAGCTGTTTGTTGTTTCATGTCCATGCTCATATTGTCACATCTGGTGTTTATGCTTTTTTTTTTTTTTTTTTGAGAACTGGGACTTATAAACTAGAGTTCATGGATCAGTCTCTTTAGAGCTCAGATCCAACACACAAACACACACAGTACAAGCTGTGGGCAAAGACCACAAGAAGATCAAAAAGTTGGTTTCCTCTCAGCAAGACCTCATTACCCACAGGCCACCTCTTTTGGGCCACTCCCTGTCTCAAATGTCACTGTTCAAACCTTTTCTAAACACGCCCTGTCCCCCATACTAAAAAGGTCACAAGCTATTAAGAAACAGCTTATAATATCATTAGCAGCATTAAAAACGATTTCCCCTCTATTTCATATGAATAATTCAGGCATCATTTGATCACAAGGGAGGCAACAGCAGGGGAGATGAGCGTGTCTCTTTGTCTGGGTCTGGTCTTTGTGTTATAGGATGACGTTTCATTCGTGTAAAGCAGTGAAATTGACTTGAATTGACGAGAGGAGTTTGATACAGCAGTGAAGTCCCGTCAATACAATCCTGTGGAGAAAACCTGTAAGGATGTTTGTATCATTTTATGTCCCTAATAACAACTGTGTAGAAATGTAGATAACATTCAATCTGTCCTGTCGAGGCTGAACTCATACACACCTCCACCAATAGCTGTCAAGGTCTGTCACGTACAGAGCGGTACATTTTCAAGACTGTTACAGAAATGACACGCTCCATATAAATATTTAGATTCTGTCCACTATGTATCTTGTTGTACATCCGAACTACATTTGTTCAGTGGAAATGTTTGTCTAAGCTCTCAGGGCACCTATGCTGTTAAATTGGATGGTTTGTCTCATCCTCTGTCTGCTCATCAGTGGCAGAAAAAGTTTCACAGTCATGCAGTTTTATTGTCAAAACCTTTTTTCTCTCCATTACACAAACCGGCATTAATAAAGTTAAATATAGTACTAAATTTCCAACCTATAGACAGAGAACTGCAGTGGTGGAAAACTTACTCAGATCCTTTAAAGGGACCAGTGCAACAATGTAAAAAGCTCTTACAAGTAAAAATCCTGCATTCGAGATCTTAGTAAAGTAAAAGTAGAAAAGTGTTATCAGCAAAATGTACAAGATTATAATCAATATATAATCAGCATTTTGCGGTTGAGGTGGAGCTAAACTAAACACTTTGTCCAGGGTCGGGCCCCTCATAATGGTCAAAACATGAATCTATGGGGTCATAAGACGATTAATGGGGTAGGGGGAAATAATTACACAAATATGTATTTCTGTTTTCATGAAATATTGGATAATTTTATAAACAGATTTAGATTTTGATAATTATAAAAACTTCTGAGACAGTAGAGTCTGCTTTTTGCGAGGTCACAAGCCAAAAAGGTTGTGAATCACTGGTTCAGCCTTTAACAATGAATTGTATATACAAGCCTATTATATGTTTTTCTTAATGTAAAAATAATGTAAAATGTCAAAATTGTACTGAAGTACTGTATTTGAGTGAATGTACTTTTCTACCACTGGAGAGCAGTGATGTCGCTTCCTGTTGCTATTTTCTTCTTGCTCACTAAATACACGTAATGTAAACACATTTTTGAACATATTTGAGAATAAAATGGCTAAGAAAACTTACAGACTGCACCAACTTTCTCCTATAATATCTATATAATCTATTTGTTTTACATCTGCTATCAGACAAAAGACCATATAATCACATAAATTATAGTAGCTTTAAATTCCTACATTTGTTATTCTATGCATGGAGATTTTCTGGACTCGATCTGTTAATCTTATCCTGGAATTCATGTCGATTCCGTAGTATCTGAGCTATAAATACATTGTAATGCATGAGATATGTTGATTTCCAGTATACAGTCAGCCAGGAACTCAAACCACCAAAACACATATATAGTTCAGTTTAAGGCATGAAATATGGTGCCGAAATAATAACAAAGTTTAGCCCACAAAGTGAATTTTTGTCGTGGAACATACTTTTCTACTTTATTCTGCACCTTAAATAACTTACAACCTACAATGTGTCAGTTTTTCTGTATGGCAAGAAGTGCATCTTCCAGTTTATTTCTCCCTCGTATCCAGAAAGAAATGACCACAGTGAAATGCAAAGGAAGTGCTGCATTACACTACAAATAACATGGCAAGCCATTAGTTCCTCCTCTCCCAACATTATGATTATTCCATTGGGGGAAATTATGCATTTTATGTTGGGCTTGAGAGCTTTTCCGTCATCTTCTGGCAGCAAACACAAAGACAAAATACCTGCTTGTGTGTATGAACACGTATATGAACACACCCACATTTTAAAACATAACATTTAAACTCACAATTAAAAAGGAACTGCTGAATGGTCTTCCAAAATAAAATACGGACAAAATGTGATTTTTAAAAATTAATTTAATCCTTTTAACTGTAGGGCTTTGTTATGTCTCATGATATTTAAATAAAGTTCAGATATCAAGGTTAAAAAGCTGAAAAAGCTAAAAAAAAACCAGAAATCAACAGAAGAAGTACCCTTTTCATTCATTGTTCTTAGTCGCTTTGGCAATATAGATTTCATGACTTTCATGCAGTGAAAGCTTGTTGGGTTTAACTGAACTGAAATGAATTGAATTAAGTCCACTGGATTTAATTGAACTGGCAGGGAGAATTAGAGGATGAGGGACTGACAGAGGGAGTGAATGAGTGAGAGGAAGCAGCTTATGATCAAGTGACTGATCCGACAGGATAACATGTCTAAATGGAGCCTAGGACTTCTCTTGAGAGAGAGAGAGAGAGAGAGAGAGAGAGAGAGAGAGAGAGAGAGAGAGAGAGAGACTGTAAGAAATTGAAGAGACCGGAAGGGTTATATGGAGGGGGAAGATATGAAAGATGTGAGGTAATCAACATTTTCACATTTATTAGATTAGTGATTCCCAGCGTAAGGTTCAGTATCCCTCCAATGGGTCAACAAGCTGTATCTGAGGGATCACAAGAAGGTTAATGGGACAGGAAAAAATAAGAAATTAAGTTCTTGTATACAATTTTAAATCAATTTAATTTGGACTGATTTTAATCTTTACTTTTAAGTAACATATTGGATAGCTTTGCCTCTGAAAGCCTTGAACATTTATTAAAATGACACAGTCTGAAATGTTAAGAGGTGAACACTACACTTGATTCCTGTGTGAGAAGGAGTCACATGTAGACACAGCTTTATTTTAAAGGGTCACAAAAGTGAAAGCTTGGAAACCATGGTGCTAGATTGCAAAAGACAACTAAAAAAGCAAGTAATGAGATAAGTGATACCTGAACTAAGTTGTGCAAGTGTAGCTAAACTTAAAGACAGCATGTACCATTCAACAAGTAGGAGAATATAACTGTAACCTCAACAGGACTTCTCTATACAATAAAGGCTATAGAAGTATAAAACATATTTTAATCCAATATGAATATTAATTTAATTATAACAAATAAGTACAATCAAGTAAATGTTTGGGATTACTGCTGACAATTTAAATAGCCAAACTGCTCTAAAGCTTAATATATTAGGATTCATGCATCTACACCAGTTTTCTCCCATAATTAATACATGTAATAGTCTTGTTAAGGTTTGTTTTCAGGCTTAGCTTCATTTGAAACTGAACCAGTGTTACAATCTTTACTTACTACCAAACTGGAACACATTTTACGACTGGTGCCTGTAGGGCAACAGGAATAGGACCCAAATGCAGACAACAGTGACGTAGCTGGTGCAGATCAATGACTTATTAACAAAAGGAGAAAAGGTTTATAGGATCATGAGGTGAACAAACAGGCAAACAGATCCAACTACAAATAGTGAAGCAGAAGGTCAAACAGGTCAGACAGGTCAGGCGGGCAGAAACAGGTACAGGGTCAGGTTTGGGTTCTGGCTTAAACACGAAGATGTGAGGTAAATAGCACCTTTGACAAATAGACTGGTGGAAATTAACCAGTACAGCTGGGTTGATGAGGGACAGTGGGAACAGGTGAGGATGTGGGCAGGGAAGGTCAGGTGACTGGGCTGCAGGGAAAGGGATTATTGCATGGGCAAACTCGCAACCCTGGTCTGGTATCACAAGATTAGGGCAGATGAGAGAAGGTAAAAGTCTGAGGGCATCTGGTGGATGGAAGGAGTATGGCAATGGTGACAAGAAATGCATGGGAACAGGAGGAGAGGAGGGACAGAGAGAAAAAATCTGCAGAAGTAGGACTAAGGCGAAAGATTTGACAACACAAGATGGTTCTCTAAAGTGCTGTACTGTGAATATAAGTCTGCTTGCAGAACACGTAATATTTATTTCACATACATGGGATTGTGATGAGCTCAAATCTTTTCAAAACATCTGCACAGTTGACTAGAATAGCCTTCCCCTGTGCTTTTAAATGCTCCACAATTAAAATGAAGCATACAGCCAAGTTTGACCCATGGCTGTAGACTCATGGAACAAATAATTTCTTTTTTTAAAATGAAATGTCAAAAACAATTCACCATATGAAGTCACATGTGAAACCAAGTAACATAACATAACTGATAGAGAACTTAAGTTCTTAAAAATGGTAATTATATAACTTTATATCTATGAAATAATTACATGGCTGGGGTCTATCTAATTCATCAAAGGTGTTTAACAGTGTGGGTTAGTATAGGTCGAATCCTTGAGGCTTTTCCCTATTATCAGTAAAGCAACTTAACATAACATGTTGTCTTGTTGTTGTTGTTGTTGTTGCACACTCAGAGCGGCTCCTGCTGGTTTGGTAGAAAATAATACAGCACAAGTTCTTGTTACATCACAAAATGTCTAACTACTTGAAATTTGATCTGAAGAACATAAAGAGGAGGGCCGCAGGAAGTAGAAACAAGGAAGTGGGAGGGTCGGATGTAAATTGAAGCAGTCTGTCTATGTGGACTGGTTTGTTGTGGACCTGGCATTCATTCATGTTTGTGCATGTGAACGGTTAATGTCTGACTGGAGAGCTTTTGCTTGTGCCTGTATTGCTTTGCTTGCAGGTTGTGAAATACTGCACTGCTGTCCTGATACAAGTTCCCTCTAACTTCAAAGGTTGCTGAAGTTCAGTGAGTGCCAAGAAGGGCAAAGGTAAGACATGCAGCAGTAAACATAGTGTCTTGCATATATTTGTATGAACATTTTGTTGGTGGAAGTTAATTTACACGTTAATGCTTTTCTCGCTGTACTGCTCTTGTTACTTACAGAACTGCACTTTGCTCCTGTGCAAGACATAAAAAGAGGCAGATAGTCATCTGGTTGCATATTAATTTTGTTCATCTGTCCTTGTACATTTTTTCTACGTTATGGGTGTTATTAACTCTATTAAGCCAGCCTGCTGTATCTGAGCTGGTCACACAAATTTCTAAAATAATATATGTTGGTTTGTCTCCAAACGGGCCTGTTTTGCAGGATGTTTTGATGAGCATACACTCAAGTGTTCCTCTTTTTGAATGCTTGTTTATTGATATTGTATTGTGTGTTGTCTAAACGAAACCATGAAAGGAGGTGCATGCAACAGAAAGTCAATCCTACACATTGTCATCAGAAATTAATTAGTTTTTAAACTTGGTGCACACTGTTAGGCATTTATAAGCAGCGTGTAAACATTTGTAAACATTTAACACACTATAATAAAGTTATAAGCAGTTATAAGGACATTTTAAGTGTACAGTATTTGTCAGCAAGCATCACTTCTGCTATGAAGACATATTCTATACAACAGTGTGTTACCGATGTCTATACTGTCATTCATTATCTGTCAATGGGTGCCCACAGAAGGAGTTGCAGTTGTTGACAACTACATTAATAAACAGTTATATCTGTTTACAACTACATCATAGTATGTGTATGTATGTATTGAGGAGGCTAAAGCTATGTTAATAATGCAGACACAATGGGCCCAAATCAGATTTTAATTTTTTTGCTCATACTCATAAACTACACTGTTTCTTTCATGACAGTGTGAACAGCACAACTGTTATATATATATATATATATATATATATATATATATATATATATATATATTTGGGCCACTTTCATATGTGGTCCAAATTAGACACAGCTCTGTGTTAGTCATACCAGAAAAATCTTTTTGCTTGTATAACAGTAGTTTTAGACAAGGCACGGGACATGACCTAGTTTGGGGCGTCTAACAGCAGATGTGCCCTGTGGTTTTTAGTGTTGACCTTGGAATGGCGAGTAGTGTAAAGAAATAGGATCTAAGAGGCCCTTTGATGACAGCAACATTTTCAAAATGTAGCAGCCGGACTACTGACTAAAACTCAAAAAAGGCACATTTTAAATCTGGCTCCTCTTCACTGGTTTCCCATTAAATACAGAATACAAAGACACTGATAACTCTTTGGGATGAATCGGTTTAGTTTTTTTCCTGGGGGATCAGTTACCTTGCCTCAGTTATTCTCTCAGAGTACAGTGAAGAGAATAAACAAGGCTCTCAAAACACTCACAGCACAAAGTAATATCACATGTTGAAAGTATCATGATGCTAAAACATTTGGGACAATTTTTTTTGTATCTTGTTTGCAAGCTTTAAATCTTACTTTGTTTTCCGAGTTGTGCATTTGTCTTGCAAGCAGCTGGTTGATTCTCACTTGGAAACTGCTAACCACATACAACCATTCAGCTCTGCAAAGTTACAGAGGAACAGCTGTGACTGCTAGGAGAGTTAGTAACAAAAACATCATTATGTAACAGCCTTTAAAGCAGTGTAGGGTTTCTTTTTTTGTTCTCACTCACAAATTAGGTGATTGTACAGCAACAAATTAGAAACCTTTATCCCTGTCAGTGATTAACTTGTGAATTATACAGCCGTAAGAAACACTTAACACATCCACTGGCAAACAAACAACTAAAGTCAGGTTATCTGTAAGTCAACAGCCTGTACCTAATTTACTGAACTGTCCTTCCTGTTAACAATAGGAAGGACAGTTCAAAAAATGAATGCTCAACAAAGAGTTCATGACCACAGAGGTCAGGGTGAAGGATCTGTAGTCATTAGTCCTGTGGTCCTTGGTTTCTTGGTGACCTGCTGAGCTTTCGGAGGTGGAGAGGAGGGCTTTACATTTGCAGTTGGTTATTTGCCTGCTCGGGGGAACCAGAATGACTGGCTGAGAACTGATGTTTCTCAGAGTACATTTATTTAGCTTCCCTCACTTCCTTGCTAAACCTGTACTTTGACCTGTACTAAAACAAATTTAACAGTTGACATCTTTTAACATTTGATTTTACATTTGCTTACAATATTTGTTTAAAGATTAACATCCCATCTACTGGGATTTCCTTCAATGTGACTGAGACTTAGAGGTTAGGTCACTTATTAATTTAAATGACTTACTGGCTGTCATCCAGTAATACTTTTCACCCCAGTTTCTAACCAGAGGCTGAACCTAATTTCACAATCCAGTCACAGGTTAATCTTGTCTGTCTGTGTATTAAATGTTTACATTTTAAATAGGTTTTGTCACTTCATGGATGTTTACATTAACTTTTAAACTTGTTTGCTTGCTGAGAGGTCAGCGTATTAAGGGTTATAAATAAATAAGACAGGACAACACTTATTGTACAACCACTTTCTTCCTGCCAACAGATGGAGCATGTCTCGCTCCCGCCACTGTCCCGTGTTGCCATTTGTGGCGGCACCCATGGAAATGAGATGTCAGGGGTGTACTTGGTGAGAGAAATGCAGAAACAGAAGGTAGATCAGGCCGGATCTGTTTCTATAACCACCGTTCTATCAAATCCACGGGCGGTGGATGCTTGTAGAAGATACACCGACACAGATCTGAATCGCTGTTTCACAAAAGGCCTGCTAAGGTAAGTTGAAGAGGAAAAGATGTACCAAAGGAACATTTAACATTTTTAACATTTCAAGTTTTTATTTGATCTTCTGGCTTTCAGTGCCCCCATAACAGACTCTACACCCTATGAGTTGAAGCGAGCCCAAGAGCTGAACTCTCAGCTTGGACCAAAAGGAAGCAAAGAGGCTGTGGATCTGCTCTGCGATGTCCACAACACCACTGCCAACATGGGCCTTTGCCTCATCTTTTACTCCATAGACTGGATCACCCTGCACATTTACAAATACATACAGGTATGAGCTTCATGGAGTCATCCAGACAAATGTATCTAATTAGTGGTACGTTTTAACTTAATGACATGAAGCATAAAAATACTGGAACTGCAGGTCTCATAAACAACTTCAACTTTAAACACTGACTTAAAAAAAACCACTGCATTAAATCTGTATGCAACATTAAGAATATCCTAGTTATCAATGTTGATATTTATGTTGAGGACAACATGAGAAGATAAATTACAGTCAGGCTATCTGGAGTTAGCAACACCAAGGGAAGATATAATGGTTATAGGAGTGTACATATAGCCTGACCGTAGTCCTTTTTAACATAAATGCACAACAAGAAATCTTTTTAGAAAGATCCCTTAAATTTTTTTAATGAATTATGACCAAAATACTATGTTCTTAGTCAGGACAGTTTACAGTCTACAGCCATGCGTACGACTCTGTGAGGCCGTGCAGCAATAGTTTGAACTAAATGCTAACACTGGGATGCAGACAAAATGAGAAATTTTACCTGATGGTGTTGCTCGTGGAAAGGTCAGGGGATCACCACAGTCATTAGTGTTCATCCTCTGGGGATCACAAACATCTGCACTAAATGACATGGCAATCCATCCAGTTGTTCTTGAAATATTTCATTTGGACCTCTGTTCAAGTTATCTTTGTTTAGTATTTTGTCATTATTGAGTTGTATATGTTGTTTGTTCTCCATACCAATTATGGTCTAAGGCAATACAAATCAGAATCTGAAGAGCTGTAAATCATGGAATAATCTGGTTTTCAGAGCAAGATGACCTCTACACCTGTGAGAGTAATCCAGCTGGATATACCTATTTCTGAAGCTTATTCCTTAGAGTCAGTGGGCAAACATGGCTTCGGTAAGTGTATTTCTTGCAAATGCAAAAATAGTTTAGTTTAATATATTAATATTAGTTAGTTAATATTAGTTTAATTTAATTGATTGCAAGTGCAAGATGTTGCACCTGTTTCTCTTGTTCTCTGCAGCAATAGAGGTAGGTCCTCAACCCAATGGTGTGCTCAGAGCTGATATCTTTAACATGGTGAAAGAGGCAGTGGATCTCACAATCGAATGGCTTCAAGGATTCAATTCCGGTAAGAAAATACCCCTGGTATTTAAAGGGACGCATCACCCAAATTACACACACAAAAACAAATCAGAATCAGAAATACTTTACTGATCCCTGGGAGGAAATTTGTTTGTTACAGTTCCTCAAGGTGCTCACACGATGTTAAAGAATAAAAATACTAATTATATTACAATATCTAATACAATATATATATATTAATAGAAAATGTATATATAGGTATATACATATAAGTAAAAAATAAAAAATAAAAATAGAAATATAATAAGTATGTACCTGAATGAAATGAGTAATAGTAGTGAATTTTAAACATTACAGTATGACAGAAGTTACAAAGTTACTAACAGAATAAGCCAGTGTATTGCACATTGACCCGAGTATTGCACCTCAATCAGATAGTTGCACATTAATCAGAGAACATTTCTAGTGCCAGTGTAATGACCAATGACTTAGAGTTTTGACACTCTGAGGGAGGAGTTGTATGTATTTGATGGCCACAGGCAGAAATGACTTCCTGCTGAAAGTACTCCTGTGTTTGACCAGCTCCCTTTGGAGTGGGTGAGAGACATTGTCCAAGATGACTTGACGTAGCTTGGACAGCATCCTCCTCTCTGACACTGCTGTCAAAGAGTGCAGCTCCACCCCAACAACGTCACTGACCTTGCGGATCTGTTTGTTAGCGTCCGTTACCCTCTACCTGCCACCCCAGCACACAACAGCCAACAGGATAGCACTGGCCACCACAGACTCAGATAAAACATCCTCAGCATTGTCTGGCAGATATTGAAGGACCTCAGCCTCCTCAGAAAATAGAGATGGCTCTGGCCCTTCCTGTAGAGGGCTTGAGTGTTCTTAGCCCAGTCCAGTTTATTGTCAGTATATAGATCAATGAACTCCAAGGTACTTGTATTCCTCTATAGTGTCTACACTGACCCCCTGGATGGAAACAGGGGTCAGTGAAGCTCATTGCAGCTCATTGTCACATTGAGCTGCAGATGGTTCTGCTCACACCCTTAGACAAAGTTACCCACCACCACCCTGTACTCAACCTCATCACCCTTGCTGATCCTGCCACAGGAACGAGGCAAGATGTCTTCCACAGCGGGGGGGCTCAAGCTGAAGACATGTTAAAGCACAGGCTTTAAGCAACCTGGGGCTGACAGGGCCTGCAGCCTTGCGTGAGTGGAGTTGCATCAGCTTTCTTCTCCCCTGGTCAGCAGAGAGGCACGCTGTAGAGGTTACAGGTAAGGGAGGGGGAGGGGAGGAGTTGTCAGACCAGAGAGGGCAGTTAGCCTGAAAGCCAAACCTCTCTCAACCTGGCCAAATCAAACCACAACCACCTGCATGGAAAAATATCACAAGGGATAAGTGATAAAGTGCTTTATAATTTGGCTGACCTTTTTAAATGACCTCTGTAAGTGTGACCAGTATTATTACTAACACTGTATTTTGCCAACAGGAAGTACATTTGAAGGAGGTGAAGTGGAAGCATACAATTTGGTGAAGAGTGTAGACTACCCAAGAGATCCTACAAGCAATGAGATTACTGCTGCCATACATCCCCAGCTGCAGGTACAATACACACATCTAGGAAAGATGCATGTACATATAAGCTTTCATCTAAAATGGCTATAATCCATATCTTTAAAATCAGTCATTGCAGGTCGAACTATTTCTTTAAAATAATGCTACATAGGGTAGTTCCATTCGCACATTTAAATGTACATGCATGAATCCATAAGCAAGGAACCTGATTTGACTCATCCGTTGGCTTTCTCTGTCTTTCCACAGGATAATGACTTCAAACTTCTCCGACCAGGAGACCCCATGTTCCAGTCATTTTCTGGGGAGATGGTGGAGTACGAGGGAGAAGAACTCTACCCTTTCTTTGTAAATGAATGTGCCTACTATGAGAAGAAGATTGCGTTCCATTTAGCCAAGAAGATCACTTTGACCTTCCCGCCCATAAGTGTGAAGAAAGACTGAGAGTGATACTAATATATACTGCAGAGATTTTGAAGTATAATCAAAGAAAAGAAATTGTGCACTACATTAATGATCATGTTTTAATCATCTCAAATTAGCTAATGCACAAACCTATGCAATAAATGACACAATAACATGATTACCTCCTCAGTTGAATACAGAAACACTGCAACAGTACTACCTCTGTGAGGCTCATGTGTAATGAGTTGCTTTTGTACTTGATTGAATAATATTGCACAGGTGCTGGAGTTATATTCTTCCATCCCCTGTATATTAACTGGCAATAATGCAAAACACTATGTTTGAATAAATTAAAAAATAGATCACATTGAACTATTATTTTGTGTGTTTTGACTTGACTTGAACCTTTATAGTCATACGGTTTTACAAAAACTGCTCAGCTGCTATAAAATGTGAATGTCAGTTGAAGAAAATAAATATTCCTGATATATACTAAAAAAAATTAACAGTAGAATGGTTTCCCATTGTCTTCATGAGGGTGGATATATGAAAGGACGAAATGATACAAAGTTTGCAATGGTATAAAATGAATATGATCCAATAAAATGGTAAAATTAAGAATGTTTCCACGCTAAGTTTAAGCAAGCTGTGAGGCTGTACTTATGTGCTTTGAGCTAAATGCTAAAATCATCAGGCTAACATGTACTCACAATGACAATACTAACATGCTGATGCACTTTAAAAAATTCCACTCTTCACTAATTTAGTTGAGCATGTTAGCATGATATTGGTTGCTAGTTAGCACTGGACACAAAGTACAGCTGAGGCTGACAGTAATGTCAATGTTTTGCAGGTATTTGGTCATAAACCGAAGTATGGCATTGCTATCTCCAGAGCCACGTTGCTAAAAAACAGTAAGAGCAAAGACAAGACAAATACAGAAGTAGGCAAATGGCAAATTTAATATTACAGGAACAGTGTGCTTCAGAACACATAAAAACATTTACAAAAGACAGAGTGTATACACTTCAGACGAGTAACAAAACATTGTGACACAAAAACATCACAATTTTTCTAAATGAGCAATTTTGGAATTTGAAACAGAGAAAAAAAAATTAATTCACTTTACACACAAATGTTAAGTGTAAAGAAAGATTTATGAGGATTTCCACTTCCAAGGGGAGATTTTGCAAATTCAACTGTGGAGTATCACCAACAGACATTTAAAAGGCTTTATTTGAAGCAGAAACCAATATTTAGCTGTCAAACCAGCCAGCTGGTTGATAAAACCGAGCTCTAAAGGAACAGAACACTGACTGCAACCAGGATTACAGTGAAACTTCACTGTAACAAATGTAAAATGGCAGTAGTATATTTTGGGGCTGAAACATTTGAATTTAAATGTTACAAAGAGGTCACAGGTTTGCTCGAGTGGCATCAAATCAATTCAGTTAACATTCAAATTAACTGCTTTAATAAATATTAGATCTATAAACACGGGTGACAATGGGAGATGAGTGGTTAAATTTTTAGTGAGTGACATTTACTGACATTTAGTAAACACATACCACAGACTGAAATCAACAATTACCACAGATGACGGAAATGTCAGCTTAAAAGGCATGCACAGCAAAGGCTCGATATTTAGGATTATACAAAAAAAAATCCAAACAAAAAAAAAATTAATTAAATTAAAAAATAAAAAGGCTTATGTTATATTTGTCATGCACTTATAGAGAGAGCTACCCTGTCTTTGATAACTACATGTCTAAAATTTGTGCAAGTTTATAATCTATAACTGATTTAAGGGCAATGTGGTGAGCAGCTTTAGAAGCAATGGCAACTAAATAAAAAAGGCATTTAAGTACTGCACGCCAACACAGTTAACACCAGAAATAACAAATCAGCCATAATATCAGGGTGTTAACATACATTAAAGAACATGCTTTTCACAATACAGGTTAGAGATGTGAAAAAAAACAAAGGTGAAATAATATAACGCAAAAGCATTAAACCCCTATTTATGAGCACTTATGATGATTAGCTGCAAACTGGTTTACTTGCCTCTAGGTCTGTGATGCCATGTTATTGTGTTTTCTAGTTAAAGAATGTTACAAAGGAAGTGAGAAGTTACAACCAGTAGCCTCTGGTCACTTCACTAAATGTACATCCTGTCTTAACCAGAAACTTATTTTTTAATAGTCCTCAGACCAGTAGGCTGTTTTAAGGTATGCTGTTGTAGTAATCTCTCTTTAAGCTACTCTGTAAGCAGTCATGCGGGTGTAGTTTTTGCGGTGACTCCTGGCCGCCCACAGGAACAAAGCAGCTGCCATCATCTGCAGAGGGAAGGAGATGAGGGCGAGGTAGAGGGACCAGCCCAGCGAGCCCTCCACCCCTTCTGGTGGTGAGGAATACTGGTGGAGCAAATCTACCCCGGCCAGGAAACAGCAGACGGTTCCCAGAGAGCACAGGCCTGATGAGCGGAGGAGAGACATAAACGATGAACGCCACGAAACACACACATAAACACAAAAACTGTATGTGCTGTGTCACTTCTGGAACAAACAACTAAACAAAAACCACATATTAAAGTGAAAGTCCCTTCACTGAATCTTCACTGAAAATACATGATTGTTTGTTCATGCAGCAAATTATAGCAGAGGCTTGGAAATAAAGACAACCATAGCAATGCCCCCTATATTTAATGAATGAGGCAATTGTTTATAAATAACTAATAACACTGTCTGATTAAGCTCATCAGATGATAATGATTAATACAATTAATATGTTTGCTTAACCGTAATTAATCAAAGCAAAAGAAAATCTTCTGACGTTTATAAGTTTGGGAAAGTTCAAGAAGTGGGGGATGTGTGAGGACAAACTCACCTAACAAGAAGAGGCCCACAATCAGCACTTCCAGGCTGACGTTAGTTTTAAGTTTGATAATCAGCAGCTTGAAACGTGTTCGCAAAAGGCGCTGGTAGCTTAAGACGTGCATGCTAACACCCACAACTGTTATTTTCTATGAAAGCTCACACACCAGTGTCTGCTCCTCAAAAACATACCGCGGTGAATTCAACATGTGAAAAAAGGATTGTGTACATTTAAGAATTTGAGATGGTTTTTGTTTGACTGACAGGAGTCTCTCACAATCAGACATGGTGGTTGCTACAGTTCTGCCGCCCCCAAAGTGTTTTCCTGTTTACATGCCATGCCATTGTTTTTGTTTTTTTCCACGTGCATGCATTTTTCTGACCTGCAAGTAGATGGAGCACTCCCACAACTAAGGTGGGGGTGAAGCTGCGGCACAGGCAGGCGCAGACCCCAACAAGGCTGCTGAGGAACACCAAGGCCAGAGACACCAAGGGCAGAAGAAACTGGCACCTCCACAAGTCTGCAAGAAGAAGAAGACATTATCCAAAAAAAAACCAAATTAAAACCTACATAGAAAAACATTCAAATCCAATATTCAAAAGGCGGCACGAGACCAGCCTGAAGCTTTCACTTCACCATAGAGTATTTTCTGAATCGTACAGAGTATTCATTTGATATTGGATAGGTTACACAAGATTTCCAATATTACATTTTAAAATGTCCATATTTCTATGTTTCAAATATTAAATTTCTGGGTATTTGTGACCACTAATACAGATAAATGACACTGTCACAAAGTGTGCTAGTGGCCTTTCAGTCTAGTACACGTGAGTTAAAACAGAATAAGAATACACTGAAAACCTAAACCCAACCTCATGTAATCTACAGGCGGTACAGGGTGGACTCACATGTTCTCAGCAGGTCTTCTTCGTTATTGTTTCCTGGGTATTTGTACTTTGGACTAAACTGCTGAGGAAGAGTGAAGCTCACACACTGCGTCTCCATCTTTGGATCTAAAGTCAGAAACAGAGAGCATCAATTCAACTGAGCTGTCATTGTTTACCAATACACAGGATGTGATGTACAGTTGGGAACATGATATACAGTTCACCACAAGACAACAGAAATCTAACCCAATAATGATTCCCATAGCTTAAGTCTGGGTATCTACAGACAACCGGTACTTATATACCATATAGTGACAATAAGTATTAAGATTCTGTGCCACCGAAAACTGAGTGAGAGGCTGTGACAGAATTAAAGTAATTAAGAGAGCAAACAGTGAGGTTTATAATGACAACTGTATATAACGTGGATTGGTCACATCTGGCCTATACCTGCTTCACTGTGCCCCTCTACTTAAGTGATTTCTGCATTAATGCCATTAATTAGTGTCTTATTTTATTTGATGGGTGAGACAAATATAGACACTTAAATCTATGTTTCCTATCAGTATTGAAATGTAAAATACTTATACTGTGACTATTTTACCCACATCTCTCATTACTTTAGTGATGTAACCAACTTAACCATGAACAACTTTTACGTTTCACCCTCAAGTAACTTTAAAAAGGTAAACAATTAGTTTTTCTTTACTGTATCTGCTTGATCACTGAAGCTCATTATACACATTTTCATTGCTTCCACATTTTATTAAATGGAAAACTCAAGTCAAATCATTATTTTAAATTGCATTTCCCTGCAATGCAAACAGTCACATTTGGTGTTTTAAAGAGTTTGTTATCTAAACTACACTCAAAGATAAAGAACTGCAGGCATAACATGACTTTATAGCAGGAGAGCTACCCAACTGTGTGTGATTGAAGATAGTAATATTCATTAATCAGCAGGATCACAGGAAGTCTTTACCTGGCTCTTTGAACCAGTGTGACTGGCCGGGCAGCCGGACGCACCTCCACCACAGTCCCAGAGTGCCATTCAGGCGGAACATGGTGTCGCTGTAGGCCTTCTCATCAAAATCTCCATTGATGAACTCCTCTCTGAGCTCCGAGGCGTTGCTCCCCTCATGTCTGATTGGTGGACAGCTGTACTGGTACCAGTGCTGAGTTCCCACAGCCACAGAGAGATACACTGTGGCCAGCAGGCTCAGCACCGAGCCAATGACCAGAGCTGTGGCATAGCGGTTGTCTACCATGGTCTTAGGTCGTTTTACAGTCCGTGTTTACAAGGAAAAAAAACCCTCCCTCTGATAAAGATAATAAAAGTTTGTATAAAAATACACATGCAGATTGGCTTTCACTGTGTGATGAAGCCTGGGTTGTATGCTTAAAAATTATATTTCCGCTTGGTGTTAAGGCACCACGGCATGTCTGTTAACTATTGTCAGGTAGTGTCACTGAGTCCGAGTAGCACAACATTGTACTCTAGTCAATCAATCATGTTCACGTTACTGTGTGTTCATGTTACTGTGTGTTTACGTTACTGTTACTGTGTGTTCACGTTACTGTGTGTTTACGTTACTGTTACTGTGTGTGTTAACGTTACTGTGTGTTAACGTTACTGTGTGTGTTTACGTTACTGTGTGTTTACGTTACTGTGTGTGTTAACGTTACTGTGTGTGTTTAGGTTACAGTGTGTTTACGTTACTGTTACTGTGTGTGTTAACGTTACTGTGTGTGTTAACGTTACTGTGTGTGTTTACGTTACTGTGTGTGTTTACGTTACTGTGTGTTTACGTTACTGTGCTGCATTTTGAGCCCAATGTCCGAAACAGAGAGGCGTTCACAACCTGTCGGAAGAATCAAAAGAAACACGCAGGTTAATGATGAAATACTTTGATACATCATGTTTACCTGGTTAACAACTTGACACATGACAACAGCTGTAGTTATGGTTAGGGATTATTAGTTAGTTAGTTAGTTAGTTAGTTAGTAAGAGATATAACAGCGAACTGTTTCACACAGCTGATAATAACAAAGGCAGTTTCCGCAACTGTGCAACTAAAAGCGAACATCTCAGCTAGCGGACGCTACTCATAGTTAGCTAACAGTGGTCTGCATCGAGACATTTAACTGACAAATAAATGTTAAATATTTCATCCAAGGTTGTTGGGTTTGTTTTTTTTACCTCATCGCTGCACAAAAACGTCCAAATATTCGCTTTATTTATTTTGCTCCTGAAATTACCAGCAGGCCTCCGCCCTCTTCTTCTACGTTAGTATTTGTTTAGTTTTAATGGCGGTTGGCAAACCAGCGTGTCGGTGCATTACCGCCACCTGCTGGACTGGAGTGTGGCGAGAGTGGGAACTTATTACTTATACTCTTTATCATTCCTGTAAATAATCACATTTGAATTAGAAATTGTTAGAAAATGTCGTTCTTTCGATTATGTTCTGTTCTTTTGAAAAGTGTTCACTTCGGTTGTGATATATATATAAATATAAAGCCAAAGATAATTTGAAAGAAGAAAGAAATTCTGCCTGTGCCAATTGAGACTATCAATATTGTCTTTATATTAAAATCCTGGTCTAGGGAGATATGAGCAGATAGCAGCTTATTGGAGATATATGAGTATGGGTCAGTAACAATATATTGCAATACAAAAAATGCCAAAGATTTGTTTCGAGTCATTTAGAGTGTCACTGTTTGTGATCCACCGAGCAGTGACAAGTTTATTTTTTTTATTCCTAAAATGTCCTGCTTACTACCTATTTTGGTTACAGTTATAACAACACATATAACTGGTCCTTATCAAAACATATCTGTTTATATTCTATATTTATGGGGGAAATGAATGCAGGCCAATATATTATTATGTTATAATACTAATAATAATTATTATAATATATAGAATGCCCAAGTCTTATTCTGTTAAAGTTGACTTTAGTTGATTTATGTATTTATAATTTATTTAATTATTAATTCATTATATATTAACCTTGTGTTATTTTTCTATTGTGACACATCTGTTGCTTTACTCCAAAAGATTGTTAGTAAGTTTTACAGGTTGGATGTTAAAAATGAATTGCTGCCATCTACTGTCAATGAAAACAATTCCACAAAGCCCATATTCACAGATCCAATGATGTAGACAAAGAATATAATCCTGAAGTCTTATCTTCTCTGCTTTCTGTTGAGAAATGTTTTTGTCCACATTGCAAACCAATTCCCTGCTGGTATAATAAGGTTCATCAAGTCACAGCAAGAATGTCTTATAATGATAAACACATACTTCCGACAAGCGTCTCGTCACAGAAGAATGGAGATCGTTGGAGTATTATTTAAATCATATTGTTTATTTTTTTGCTTTAAAAAGGCATATGCTTTATAAGCATTATATCAGACAGGTTTAGAGTGTATGCAAAATAAGTTTAAAATCAATATAAGCTACAGATCATCAGTCCCAATGTATCTGTAGTTGTATCATAATACATAATACATTTCCCCTGATGTGTTTTCCACATAAAAAAATAAAACATTCTCTGAAATACAGGCTGCTATGATGTTTTGGCAATGCTTCAATTGTCAATAATCCCTTTGTGAAGAGAAAAAAAAGGCTTCGAATGAAAATGTCCAGTGAGGTAGAGACACTCACATACCAATGTGATGGTTAAATACAGCATTTGGCTTTCATCACTTTTCATAAAGACACATTCAATCATTGATGCCATGTCCCAGATTCACATATTACAGCTTTTTAAAAATCAAACAAAGTGCAAATTGATTTTGTGCAGCAGTGAGTTCCCTTGTTATCAAAACAAATCGTCTTTAGCGAAGAGTCTCCGGTGCTGTTTGTAATCAGACTGGACTGTTGCATTCAGGATCGGGGTGGTAGTGAACTCCACACTACATGGCCCTGAGTCGCAGGGAGCCCCCTCCAGCTCCAGGACAGTCACATTGTTGGGTGCAGCCGTGCTGAGGATGTTGGCTGGGACGAAGACTGTTACCTGAGGGCCTCGGGACGGCCAGTAACGTCCCAAGTTGAAGCCATTAATCCAAACTTGCCCCTGAAAAAAATTTAATAAAATCACAAGGACTGATTAATTAGTCCACATTTTAGGTATAAAACAACAACAAACTTCACTGAAGAGATCATGCTAGGGAATATCTGGACAGGATACACTCAAACAGCATGTCATTTATGAGCACTTTTTCCACATTTAGAGTAGGGCTGCAGCTAAAGATTATTTTTAGATTTATTCTAGAAATTGGTGGAAAGTCATGCTGATATTTTCAATTATGGTCAACATATATATTTACAACATATTGATGTAAGTGTACAGTTTTCTTTTTGACTATATCATGTGCTATGTACATCATATAATGTGGATCCAAAGGTTTGGTTCTTGTGGCCATTGTGTGGTGATGGAAATGTTGGTGTTTATGTTGATCTTGAATTGAATATTGAATATTGAATAATCATAATTAAAAATAAAAAAAAGAGGGAAAAATGTGACATGCCTTCCTCCATTTGGGCAATTTGATGTAGGTGTCCTGGGGCAGATCTGGGATGCCGTCCGGAATGATAAAGCTTCCCTCGTAGAAGGCCGGAAGGGAAAGAGCAGCAGGCTGAGGAGCATCTGTTGGTTTAAGTTCACCGAGAAGTCCCTGACTGACCGCTTCATCGATACTGAGACTGTACATGGTCCAACCGAGGAGTGTGTCTTTCCCCAGAGTCAGATTGGACACCAGGCCCTGTGCAGCAAAGAAACCAAACAGGAAGAGGACAGAGGGAGCTCAAAACAGGTAAGAGGTAAGCAATGAAATCCATACTCACATACTAAAATTGTAATATTATCTTTGTAGGCTTGTAGAACTGGAAATCCAGTAAAGCCTTGTGATACTTATGCAGACACCTACTATATGTCAAAGCACACACTTTAAACTGTAGCTGGATAAAAACCTTAAAGTCGTTGATTTCTCTTCCGTAGTTGATTCGGCCCATGTTCTCCACCAGTATGTCAACCTGACTGCCAGCTTTCCCCGTCACGTTGACAGTTATGGCTTTGTTTCTCTCGAGAATCCCCACAGCCACCTTCAGAAGAATTCAGCATGGTTATGTTTTCTGCATTTTTAAATCGAACAAGGTATAATTTTAAAACTGTTTCTATAACTAGAGTGGATATGAAAACTAAGTTGCAGTACAGACACAAAAACAATATTTTCTTTTATACTTGACTATGAAAAATATGTTTTTCTACAAATCTTTTTTAGAAAAAGAAGCTAATGTTCTTTAATGTCCAATGTTGTCAGCCGCTGCTAATCTAAATTTGGGATAATGATAATCGTGCTGCAGACGGTTCCAGTGAAGCCAGACTGAGGTTTACCTGATCTAATGAATAATAATAATAATAATAATAATAATAATAATAATAACAAAATCTGTGAAAGACATCAACAAAGCATGTCGTGTGTAATACCTGCTAAGAAACAATCAGACTCACCCCGTCTACTGACACATACGCTCTGTCATGGACGCCGTTGAGTGGAGAGGACAGTGGCGTTGGTGTGCTGCAGTCAACAGGCAGAGCCGTCCTGTAGAGCACATAACCAAAGGCCTACAGGACAAAGAGGAAAGAGATACATTTTAAAACAAATCAACAACTAAAAAAGGAAAAGAATGAATTATATTATAAAATATTGCTGTTTTGTTTTTTTTTACTACATAAAAAAGAAGAACATTAAAGGATACCTGGTTGAGTTCAGTGAAAGTCTGAGGATAGATGCTTTTCACAGGTCCGGAGAACGACAGTTTTTCTAAGGCATCCGATATTGTCTGGAGCTGAGGTGGCAAAGGGCGGCTTTTTAGTATGTATTCTTCGTGTTTTAAATCAGGTGACAAGAAGACTTTCAGTGGTGAGTTGCAGTAAACCATAAGTAATTATTTAATCAACAAGATCAACGGTAGAGGCAACTGAGTGCATACCTTTTCCATCACGACAGTCCCATATGCATACTTTGGAGTTGTTGGTGGTATGGGTCCCTCTGGTATTTTACGGTACTGTTGACAATAAAATACATTAGTTCTTCTAGATAACATAACAACAACAGTTACTGTAACAACAGTTTAATACAAAACTACAGGCCTGCACTTTCAATTCTTACCATTTTGATCACCTCCCGAATAGCAAAGTACTTCTCTGTGAGGTCTCCTGCTTCCGTGAGCGGGGCATCGTAGTCGTAGCTTGTGGGCTGCGGGCCATAAGGAGCATTGGCACCTGACATATGAATAGGCAATCAGAGGGTGAGGTTTTTTCTTTTTTTGGCAACAACCATGTGGCTTTGCTGTGAGTCACTTAAAACGATGACATCATCTCATTAAACCAGTCTGTCGAAGTGCGCTCACCATTCCAGTATCCAAAGTTTGTTCCTCCTATGAACATGTACCTGCGAGGAGAGAAGTGAAACTGAAATGTTGACAGAAATGAAGTAATTTCTGGCATTGAAAGTGGATGCCACAGTCTTATGTTGAATCTGAAATCTGTTGTGCAACTTTATTTGCCTTTATTAATCTGCATTAGTGTGTCTGAAGCAGTGGTTCCCAACTTAGCAGTGGTCGCAAGGCCCTTTTGATTTTAAGGGTGTAGGAAAACTTAAAAAAATATACAGAGTAGGAATAAATCTCAATGTAGCTCAAGTCAAAGTCAAGATTATTTTTTAAGATCTAAACTTTGAAGACCTGAACACAAACTATCCTCACAGAGCCTTCACTCTAAACAGCCATGTCAAAGAGCTGAGAGCAAGAAGAAGAAAAAAACTGTCAAAAGAGTAGCCTATTAACCATGTATGATTATTAAAAATATAAAAAATCCATCCAAACCACTCATTTTACACAAACTTCCTGCAGTTATTGTGTTCACTATTTGGGTTAATTATACTGTTTATCAGTTGTTCTGTACTGTAATTGTTATGCATCGAATCAAGTATGAAATAGTCATAAAATATGTCAGTTAGTCAGGGGTCAAATCAGTTTAAGAGAAAAAATTATGGAAAAGGTTGGGAACCACTCGTCTAAAGCCACTTACTTACAAGCTACTTACAGGTTGACATTAGCTCCAACAGCCAGGATTTCGTTGAGGGACTTGGCCACTATGGTAGATGACACGACAGAGTGATGTGACCCCCAGTGGTCCAGCCAGCCAGTGTAAAATTCAGAGTTCACCTGTTAATACAGAAGTAAACCTTATGAGCATCTGAGAGAAAATGTAGTCACACAGAAACACACAAACTGCATCAAGGGAAAAACTTACCAAAGGTCCATGAGGCTCAGCGTGTCTCTGTGCATCAAATGCAGCGGTTACATTAGCACCTGACAGAATAAAAGCAAAGATAAGCTCACTGACTGACACTCTAAAATGTGACATTAAGTCAAGATTGAGAAAAACAGAAATCTCATCTCAAGTTGCTTTCACAATACATCCGTAATTTAAGACATGAACACATGACTTAACCTTTAACCAACAGTCAGACACCTGACACCTACCAGGCCCAAAGTCAACAGTGGCGTAGAGATCTTGTATCGAGCCACACTTTAGGTAACCTAGCCCGGCTCCATCTGTGGTGAAGAGCACCACCTCGTCGCCCAGGTGAGAGCGGAATAGCTTGGACAGGTGACGCAAGTAGTTGTAGTCACAGGCGAAATAACTGCCGTATTCATTCTCCACCTACCAAACACAGACATAGCAGGAGAGGGATGTTATTTCCTTTCTGAGTTAAGAGCTGTAATGGTACATGACACACAGAAACCTGCAGAAATAAGTCCAGAACTCACCTGCACAGTGATGATAGGACCACCATTCTGGTAGAGATAAGGCTTTAGAATTGGCAGTAACTTTCCCATCCACTTGTCTACAGCTGCAATGTAATCTGAAATACACAAATGATAGTGTTGCATGTACTGCACCCGGACTATGTGTCGCCATTCATCCTGTTTTGCTTTGATTCTCACCTGGATCTGAAGACCGCAGCACAATGTCTTTCTTGTTGAGAAGCCATGCAGGCAGCCCACCCTGGTTGACAGAATAACACAAACAGTGGCAGCAGGTTTTTGGTGCAACTTAAATGTTATTCCATAATAAAACAAAAATCCTGGAGGGACTGATTATCCCAAACATATTTGCACTGCTATCCAACAGCAGAGATATACAGCGATCAGCAATAACACCTGGGTGCCCTGGTGGTCATGATGTTACCCAGTTCCATAAACAACAAACTGTGATGCACTGTGTGTTCTGACACCTTTCTAACAGAACCAGCATTAACTTTTTCAGCAATTTGAGCTACAGTAGCTCATCTGTTGGATCAGACCAGATGGGCCAGCCTTCACTCCCTGAGTACACCAATGAGCCTTGGACGCCCATGACCCTGTCTCTGGTTCACCACTTTTCCTTCCTCGGACCACTTTTGATAGGTACTGACCACTGCAGACCGGGAACACCCCACAGGAGCTGCAGTTTTGGAGATGCTGTCGTCTAGCAATCACAATTTGGCTCAAAATCACTCAAATCCTCACGCTCCCCATTTTTCCTGCTTCTAACACATCAACTTTGAGGACAAAATGTTCACCTGCTGCCTACTATATCCCACCCACTGACAGGTGCCATGATAAAGAGATAATCAGTGTTATTCACTTCAGCAGTTAGTGGTCATAATGTTATGGCTGATCAGTTTAAATGCATTCTCACTATAAAGTCTCCACATTGTTTTGAAAAGCTAGATTTGATATATACCAAATAAAACTTAGAGTTGAATATGTTCAATATTTCCTAATTCTGAATACCATCAAAAATTAAAAATGTGTACATTTACTAACAAATTCACTCACCATGTCCCACTCGGCACATATGTAGGGTCCAGGCCGAAGGATGACCACTAAACCGATGTCTTGGGCCAGCTTAAGGAAATACTCCACATCCCTGTCTCCACTGAAATTGTACCGGCCTGGAGACTCCTCGTGGTAGTTCCAGGGGATGTACCTTCAATGTGAATGAAGTGTCAGTATTATCCGAACACACACTCACTATTTACGTAGGCTGTATGTAGTATCAGTACTGCTTTACAGGGATCCCTGGGTACATTCATATATAGAAAAATAAACTGAAAACAGCAGTAACAGTCAAGTAAGTCAATCACTGTCAAAACCAGCTATTTGAGGTTTGAGAGACTTTTTTTTTGTGATAGTACAGCGTACAAAAGAGTGAGAGAGGAGGTAAACCTACGTCTGGATGGCATTCAGTCCTGCCATGTACATCTTGAGCAGTCGATCCTTCCAGTAGACTCTGGGGATCCTGCTGTAATGGATGCTTCCTGATATGTAACGAAACTCTTTCCCGTCCTTCTGAAAGCAGTCATTCTTGTAGTCCACGCTGAATGAACGAGGTACCCCGAGCTGCAGGTCAGCACATCATAACTTGACCCACAGGTGAATTTACAGTGCACTTTTCATCATTTACAGACGGACAAGTTGGTTTATATTGTGGTTAAAGTTTCATGTTTTTATGGGGCAGGCCTAACATCTCAGCTGACTTGTGTCATTCTTGACTGCCTACTAAAGTTTGTGACTAATGCTTCAATGTGAGATACTGTACCTTCCAACCAACATGTATTAAAACATTCTCATTTTTTAAAGGCCTGGGAAGTATTTTAGACCATATGAGAGTCAACTTTATTGTCACTGCAGAGTACAAGTACTGATACAATGACATGCAGTTCAGCATCAAAATGAGAAATGTATTATGTATAGTGGTAATATATAGAATAAACAGCAAGGAGAAGATATGAATCCACTAAGTTATGTACAGTATGAACATGTGGCAGCCATTACAGGAGGCAAAACACTGCAGATATACAAACAAGTAATGACAATAGTAAGTAAAAAGTATGTGAGAGCATATAGCATAGTGCAGCTAAATGTATGAACAGTATATTAACTGAAAATATGAGCCTAATTTAACTCAATTATTACAAACATTACTCGTGTTTAGCACCACTAAAATCAGTTTTTCATAAGTTTTTAATGTTATTTGAACGAGGTTGCAGGTACAAGCAGAGAGCAGAGTATAAACACTCAGAGGTACTCACTGAATGTCCAAACAGCAGCAGCAGCACGCATCCAAATCTGAGCAGAGACATGATTGAGTCCTCACATCGGTTTCAAGTGCAGAATTCAATGAATGTACCTTTTCATGCAGTGTTTCCTTGAACACAGTCAGCTACGGCACTTACTTCCCTGTGATATTTTGAATGAGTGTTGGCATCATGAGTTGCGGAAGTAAAATCATGTGATGCTGTGTTGTTGAGGTGTAAGAGCGCTTTTTAATCGGTAGGTGGCAGTATTGCACGTTTTATTTAATGGGGCATGAGGTCAAATAATGTGTAAGGGCGTCGGTTTTAGCAGAATTTGAAGACTGGTAAGGGAACAGGTGAACCTCCAAAACTTCAAAACACACAATGTTTTGTAGGCTACATAAAAATATAGTCTAACAAAAAAAGTTGCAGGAAAGTTTCCAAGAAAAGAAGAGGAAATATTCTAACGTGAGTGTAATTTCTTACTTAGTAACATGTTTTTATGAGTGCACAAAAACATGAACATGAAATGTACACAAAAAAATGGCAATAGACACAGATAATACAGCATTTTTCATGCAATGATGACACTGGATATTCAATTCAATTTTATTTGTATAGCACCAATTCATAACAGAAGTTCTCTCAGGACACTTGGAGCAGGTCTAGACCGTATTCCTTATAAAATTATGTTCAGAGACCCAACAGTTCCCACCATGTAGCAGGAAGGAAAAACTTCCTTTTAAGAGGAAGAGAGGAGCTCAGTGCATCATGGGAAATCCTCCAATAGTCTAGGCCTATAGCAGCATAACTAAGGGATGGTTCAGGACTCACCTGAGCCAGCCTTAACTATAAGCTTTATCAAAGAGGAATGTCTTAAGCCTACGCTTGAATGTGGTGAGGGTGTCTGCCTCCCAAACCACAACTGGAAGTAGTCCATGAACCAGGGGGGTTGATCGGTATCATCGGGGGGACAAATGCTATCATTGTTTTTTGGCAAGGTATGCACCCCTAGTACTAGAAAAATCACGATAGCAGTGCAGGGGTGGTAGCGAAAACACTTTTTTCAGCTCATGAAGTTACTAACCCCTTAAGATAAATTCCGTTTTTGAAATCTGGTGTATATCTGGTTCATGGTAGGGATATTGTCAATATTCACTTAATACAATCCATTATTAACAGAAACAATGTACACAAGTCTAAACTATTTTAATGTTGCTGTGGGACAAAGTGAGACTAGCCTCCAGTCAAATGCCATGTATGTAGATATGTTTATATAGTGGATCGATACAAATAACACAATAGATGTTTTGGAACTTTTGATATTTATTGCCCCTCAACAGGCCACAACTGGGCAAAATTAAATTGTGCTTGTTAAGCACTATACCATAAATAAATAACAAATATATACACTCTTTGTAGTGCAAATAAAACAAAAAAAAACTTCAGACAATTGGTAGATATACTGTACTTCAACTATTTTCTTCCTTGAAAAAGTAGAACAGTGTAACAATATGAGGTGCTTTCGATCTAACATAATAATAATAATAATAGCATAATGTGCATTTCACGATTACATTCGTTCCTTTAATTTCTTGGAGGGAAAAGTAATGGCTATACTTCCATTTAGAGAAGGCTACTTTTGGATTATTTGGGCTCGCCATACCTGTCTCTCGTTGAGTGACTCGCTTGTGTTGTTGGTTGTGTGTGCGACTATGCGTGCTTTCGAACACCCGCCCAACTCTACCTCTGATTGGCTTACCATGAAATTTTACTCAACCTCAGCCAATCGTCAGCATTTATGCGCTTGTCTCGTGCACTGTCCACTAACCAAGGAAGAACAGGAAAAAAAAGTCTTTGCCTCTCGGCTCAGAGATCTAGTTGGTCTGATAAAAAAAACAGTGCCGCATTTTTTGGCAGTAACGGTAACGGCGTTATTAAGATGGGAAGAGTAATGAATTAGATTACTCGTTACTGAAAAAAGTAACACCGTTAGTAACGCCGTTATTTATAACGCCGTTATTTATAATGCCGTTATTCCCATCACTGGTTGGCTCAAGCTATCCTTGCACGGTGGGAGTTGATGACTCTCGATTTCACCTTTCCATCTGCTTCTTCTTGTTGACATTGAAGAGTTGACACCTCCTCACTTTCTTGATATGTGATTCTGTAACATTTGTCAATCACAGTTGCATATAGAATCTTCTCCTGTAGCTTTTCTCTGTATTCTGGCTTCCTCCATTCATTCACTATGAAGCTAATGAGACTAGTTTTGTTATTGACTTTGGTCAGGAAGCTCCTCCACTGCCTCACCATCTGTGTGCTTGTGATATCCTGCAACTCATGACCAGTCTCTTCACCCCGTAGAGATCTTTCACTATTCTTGATTGAGTTCTGCTTGTATGTGTCGAACACAACATCTATTCTTCTACTCTGACTGCCTTCCCTCAGAGCCTTACCCAGGATTGTTGTGGCAACATCTCTGAAAGTAACTTCATCACCTTTCACTCGTTGGACATCCAATCAACCACTGTGGCAGAGTTTTCTGGGTGTTTCTCCTGTAGTGCTACATTTTTCTGCAAGGCTATGGCCAAAGTAGCATTGTTTGTTTTTGTCAGCATTTATGCGCTTGTCTCGTGCACTGCCCACTAACCGAGGAAGAACAGGAAAAAAAAGTCTTTGCCTCTCGGCTCAGAGATCTAGTTGGTCTGATAAAAAAAACAGTGCCGCATTTTTTGGCAGTAACGGTAACGGCGTTATTAAGATGGGAAGAGTAATGAATTAGATTACTCGTTACTGAAAAAAGTAACACCGTTAGTAACGCCGTTATTTATAACGCCGTTATTTATAATGCCGTTATTCCCATCACTGGTTGGCTCAAGCTATCCTTGCACGGTGGGAGTTGATGACTCTCGATTTCACCTTTCTTTGCACAGAAAAGGTGGTACCTGAGCTTGTTGATCATGGTGGTTGATGCTTTTGGGGCATAGAGGACACATGTAAATGCCTCCAGTTTTTTGCTCAGTTCTGGTGAGAGGTCCCATTCTTGGCCCAACTTCAAGAATGTGTCTTGTGTTTCTTTGTTGTTCATCAGGAGTGTAAGTGCCCTTGTCTTCCCTTTGCCTGCAAAAGCGCTTACAGTGTCACATCCTGTGTAGGCATGCAACCCAATGAGAGCCCTACAAGTGTCCATGCCAACAGTGGCTGCAACCTTCCTGATAGCTACCAGCCTTGTACGGGTTCTTGTGACACACTTCAGGAACAATGGGGCCTCAATCTTGTCACAGAAGGCTAAAGACATGATAAAGACATCTGTGTCTTCTGAACAGATAACTATAGATTGGTATCCCTCTCTTGCGGCATGGGCGGCATGGAGAAGTAGTCGTCCATCTGCTTCTTCTTGTTGACATTGAAGAGTTGACACCTCCTCACTGTCTTGATATGTAGAGATCTTACACTATTCTTGATTGAGTTCTGCTTGTATGTGTCGAAGACAACATTTATTCTTCTACTCTGACTGCCTTCCCTCAGAGCCAGAGCTTTGTTTATTTGTTTTATTCACACTGAGAAAAACAAACAATGCTACTTTGGCCATAGCCTTGCAGAAAAATGTAGCACTACAGGAGAAACACCCAGAAAACTCTGCCACAGTGGTTGATTGGATGTCCAACGAGTGAAAGGTGATGAAGTTACTTTCAGAGATGTTGCCACAACAATCCTGGGTAAGGCTCTGAGGGAAGGCAGTCAGAGTAGAAGAATAGATGTTGTGTTCGACACATACAAGCAGAACTCAATCAAGAATAGTAAAAGATCTCTACGGGGTGAAGAGACTGGTCATGAGTTGCAGGATATCACAAGCACACAGATGGTGAGGCAGTGGAGGAGCTTCCTGACCAAAGTCAATAACAAAACTAGTTTCATTAGCTTCATAGTGAATGAATGGAGGAAGCCAGAATACAGAGAAAAGCTACAGGAGAAGATTCTATATGCAACTGTGATTGACAAATGTTACAGAATCACATATCAAGAAAGTGAGGAGGTGTCAACTTTTCAATGTCAACAAGAAGAAGCAGATGGAAAGGTGAAATCGAGAGTCATCAACTCCCACCGTGCAAGGATAGCTTGAGGCAACCAGTGATGGGAATAACGACGTTATAAATAACGGCGTTACTTTTTTCAGAAACGAGTAAACTAATTGATTACTCTTCCCATTTTAATAACACCATTACCATTACTGCCAAAAAATGCGGCGCGTTACTATAATTGAAGCTTTTTTTTTATCAGACCAACTAGATCTCTGAGCCGAGAGGCAAAGACTTTTTTTTACTGTTCTTCCTTGGTTAGTGGACAGTGCACGAGACAAGCACATAAATGCTGACGATTGGCTGAGGTTGAGTAAAATTTCATGGTAAGCCAATCAGAGGTAGAGTTGGGCGGGTGTTCGAAAGCACGCATAGTCGCACACACAACCAACAACACAAGCGAGTCACTCAACGAGAGACAGGTATGGCGAGCCCAAATAATCCAAAAGTAGCCTTCTCTAAATGGAAGTATAGCTATTACTGTTCCCTCCAAGAAATTAAAGGAACGAATGTAATCGTGAAATGCACATTATGCTATTATTATTATTATGTTAGATCGAAAGCACCTCATATTGTTACACTGTTCTACTTTTTCGAGGAAGAAAATACTTGAAGTACAGTATATCTACCAATTGTCTGAAGTTTTTTTTTGTTTTATTTGCACTACAAAGAGTGTATATATTTGTTATTTATTTATGGTATAGTGCTTAACAAGCACAATTTAATTTTGCCCAGCTGTGGCCTGTTGAGGGGCAATAAATATCAAAAGTTCCAAAACATCTATTGTGTTATTTGAATCGATCCACTATATAAACATAATATCTACATACATGGCATTTGACTGGAGGCTAGTCTCACTTTTTCCCACAGCAACATTAAAATAGTTTAGACTTGTGTACATTGTTTCTGTTAATAATGGATTGTATTAAGTGTCCATCTCATTATAATATTCAGATTTATCATAAATAATTGAACATGCACATGTATTTTAAGTTCAGTTAAAGAGGCGTGGAGGTGGGGTCACATCTGAGCATTTAAAAATGTACTTGAAAGTAACGCAATAGTTACTTTCTGAAGTAACTAGTTACTTTTATAATTTGTAACTGAGTAACTAATTTAGTTACT